AAATTCTGAAAAATGCTCTGTGTTAAACTGTGCACAAGTCTTGTTTATCGGTCCACATTCTTGTCAAACTAACGTCTTGATTTCCAGTGGTGAATTTGTTGGAGCTTGTAGCTTTCTGCTTGTTGCAGCCCAGCTGTTGCATCAGAGGCCTTGGTGGAGCACTGGGTATGCGTGAATCCAGACTTTGGTACATGTATCTGCTGTGATCAATAACCACGTCAATAACTAATCATCTCAGTGACCTCCGATCGCTCACCTGGTGAATGGAAGCTTTGGAAATCCACCCAGACAATTACACGTCATTACGAAAGATTTGGCTCCATCCGTCCATCTATTCGTCCACAGGCCTTGGAGAATATGAACAGAGGGATAGATTGGGAGATGTTGACAGAGGGAATGAAGAAGGATGTCTACTGAAGAACGTTGTGGAAATTTGTGTCTTCCTGGGAACCAGTTTTCATGGACTTTCCGTGGGAATAGGAAGCATAGCATTTATGGCATTCATGTAGAACATGTGAGGGTTGTCCATCACCAGTGTAATGTATTAAGCATTGTATACCTGTAGGGTCCGTGGGAAAGATTCACAGGCCTGCTTTTGTTGGACTCAAACCCACAACCTCCTGCTGACTGGCACAGATGGTTTAACTGCTCAACCAGTGCATGTGTCCATTCAGCCGGCTGGTTCAAATCCAGTATACAGAGGAAACTTGTAAACAGGCTCTCAGAAAGTGCTCACAATATATTGCATTGGTGGAGGGGAAACCAAACATTCCAATTTCAATTTCCCTGAAGCAGACACCATCAGTAGTTAGGTAGCACTTGTATTGGAGGATCAGAGCACTTCACAATTATAATCTCCTGTATTCAGCAAGCAAACACTCCAGTAACTCATTAGGAGGTGCAGACCACCTGTGACCAATCAATTATTAAGGGATTGCACTCACTACTCAACACTACTCACTGGTGTCACCTTGCTGAGGGACATGTGCACATGAGACTCAAGTTGGAATCAGAAAATATGGTGTTGGTAACTTTGTTTTGACCTGACAGTTTTTTCTTGTGGTAAATGTTTTAAGATCAAGTTTCTTGTTTTCTACCATTCGACGATTTACTCAACTGTTAAATATTTACCAAATATCAAATCTTACTCATTTTATATTCTTTAAATCAGGTGATGAAGACTGAGGTTTGGGGGGTTTCGCACAGTGTGATCTAAAAACACTTCTTGTGTTCTGTAAGGTCTGCAGAAGAGCATCATGGTCAAATGCAGTCAAGCAGAAGGGATCCTGAATGGAAACTCTCATGAAAAATTCAGTTTGTCTGGACAAGAATTAGCAGTCGTTCAGCATGGAGTTCTTAATCCAATTTATGTGATATTCCTGGCCCTTCCCCCAAAAAAACTTACTGCGCTTGCTCACTTTGCAAAAGTGCAGATGTCATTGCATTTTTAGCACCCTATTCTATGAAAAGCAACAAATTTGTACACAAGTTGTACTTTGGTTTTTTTTTTTTGGGGTCAGGACTTCAGTGAAAGCTTCACAAAATCAATAACGGCGACTCGCTTGAGTTGCACCACACAGGTAACAAGGATTTTCCTGCTTGACACCCTGCCCCGAGGTTGAAAAGGGATACAGTTCACTTTCCTGATCCTAGCCTTTGTGTGGGGATTAAAGGGGGATAATCTCTGGGATAATATTATGCTCTATTGACTTCGATCCTTTCTGGGGGGCAGTGTGCCAGTTGGCCATGATGCGAAGGACTTCTCCGGAAGAAAAGTTTGATCCCAACTCAATGTGTGTTTTACAGCTTGGTACAACTTTTTCCAGCGGTCCCCTTTCACCCTAGTGATATTTTTGTTATCGGCACTTGTCCTTTGGCTCAAATTTTTGTTTGATTTTCCCACTGTGCTGATGGTTACACTGTAAACCTGTGAACATGATGTAATGGATAAAATGCTAAAATGGCAAAATATGAAATTTAATAATGAATTAAAATACTACCCCCATGTACTCATGGTAACAGACAACATGTGCATTATAAAGGAAGAAATTAAAAATCCAAAGTCAGAATATGCTTAGCGGAAAACAAATAGATTTCACAGATGTTAGCACAAAACAACAAAAGTGTGACTGTAGATGAAAATCCTGTTTTCAAATGTTTATCTTATCATTCAAGTGTAACTGCATATCTTTGATGAAAGATTTAGCTATCAAATTACTGACAATTTGTGACTTCTCCTCAATTTGTCTGTTTTTCCAAAAGATGATCATTGGACATGATGAGAAAGATGACATGTACCTTTCAGCACTGTCTAATTCACTCGCTTGGTATAAACAGTTTTGTCAGTCTGCTTTGATTTGTAGAATGAATGAGTCTCCTGGAATTGATCATTAGACTTAAAGCTTTCTGACTAGTGATTGACCACAAAATGGCAGTAGCCGCTGTTTTCCTCTGTACCATGCGGCCTCTTCACCCCTGTTTAAAGGCACAATACCTTCATGACATTGTGGAGAATGCTTTATGCAAGCTTTAGGGAGTAAACCCCTGTGTCGTGCTCGGCTATTCATGGAAGCTACTGTCTGTGTGGCTGCAGGTGTGCATTGATTTTGACGAGAATTACAAAGGAACCGATAAATCTTAAATTTAATGACCCCAAAACTGCAGAACATTTCAGTAACCAGATTTGTACGTATAAAGACTGTGACTGATTTGGGATTGTTGAGCCTAGACCCCATAACTTTACATGAAGTTGGGAGACGCTGTGCACTGCGGTGTGCATGTGCAATGTGGCTGAGGTGCAAAGAACACCCCCATTGGTTTGTGGTTCACTGTGGGATCCTGGTGGATTGAGCTGGTACATGCAAGGGTTCCTGTAACATGTATGCACAGCCCTGGAGGAAAGGGAAAGCGAGAATGAAATCTGAAGTTAGTGCTGATCTTTTAATGTTGCTTAATACATGCAATGTGATTAATTACTGTATGAAGTACATGTAGGATGGCTCAGTTGTGCTCAAGATTAAGTTTCATTGTACTAGAAGTTGTCGTTTACCAGTGACAAAAGAGTACGAATTTGGATGGTCGAAACAGCTTAGCTGCTCTTTATAATTTTTTTTTTAGGTAAAGATCCGATAGGAACAGTAATTATTCAATTTTTTGTTTAGTGTACATGAAGGGCTTCTGATATAACACATTGTACCAATCTTTATATTACTTTAATTTCTTTAATTTCTTATTTTAATCTGAATAGCAGATGCCACTGGGGCCCATTTCCCTGTGATGTATGTAATTGCCACTTATTTAAATAACACATTTTGTGAAGTACGCAAATGGAGGTGCAAATAAAAATAAACCAGCCTGGTCTTTTTTGGGTTGATAACTGATCACTTGCTGTTTATTTTGGGGATCTGGGTCGCTGGATTTGGTTTATTGCACATGACATTTTAAATGCAGCGGTAAATACTGTCTGACTCCGACAGTTCTCACCAGTTTGTTTGTTTGTCATTCTTCTCGGTCTGTTTGACAGCATTAAAATTATTGGCAACATTTCACCCTTGCAAATGTAGCGGAACTTTGAAAAGGAACGACATGCATGGTTGATCGGCAGGCACCTGCCGCCGGCAGTTTTCTAGGGTCCATGTCAGAGAATGAATGGCTCTGAACTCCTGATCCACCCCCCAAAGTTTCAGTAACACTGAGACAGGCATTGGTGTTTTACCTCATGAGTGCAGTCTTTAAAAAAAGGGCCACAGTTTAGGCCTAACTGAGGGTTGCCCCAAAATGGTGCATTATCGGGAACGGAAGTGTCTTTAATTTCAATTTTTTTTTAATGATTTGAAACTCTGGCCTTATTTCACTTCAACCTCGACCCCCTGTGTGAACAACAATTTTGAATTGAAGTGGAAAACAACTCACATTGGAGAAATTGGGCTGTTTATGGTAGAGCCTTCGAGAAAGATTCTGCTAGGATTGAAAAATTGAGCTGTCTAGCATTTTAGATTTTAAAAGTAACATTGCTCAAAAAAAAAAAAAAAAGAGATGGAGATTTTCTTATAGTATCTGGTTGGATCAGAAACAGGATATCAACTTGTTCTGTACATATTCCCAAAGCCTTTGGTAACAGCGTCTGTCACCTCATAGTCACTTGTGAGCAGTGCGTATTTGCAACAAGTAGTTGATTGCAGTTTGCACATGGACTGTCCAAATAAAAATGCTTTAGTAAAGTACATGTACTTACTTGAACTGCCCAGCTATATATTTACACTGCACATGGTCACTTCTGTTGCTGCCCACCTATGTGTCCATCCCTTCCAAAGGGGGATACTTGGTATACCCCATAATGACCCCTGCATCCTTGACAACCCAAATGCACCCCATTGTGGAGAGGAACAAAAAGCAATTTATTTACAAAGACACAAAGGAAGCTGGAGGTAACTGGCCGAGTTAGTCTCCTGCTCCAGCTGTTGTTGTGGCTGATCATGTAGAGATGCCTTGAGGGCAGCATTACCTCTCCCTGTTGGTAGCATTTGCAGTGTGTCAAAATCCAAACTATGTGTTTGTACCTGGGTTGTGTACTCACGTGCAGTAGTGTGATCAAGTAAATCGATTCTGAACAATTTTCATTAAAAAAAAAAAAAATCATACAACATAAAAATACAGGTTTAAAAGTTAAAAACAGGCTGTAGCCTAGAACCCCTGAATTGAACTGAGTTAACACACTTGCAGATGTGGTGATTAAACATACTGCTCCCCAATCCTTGAAAAACCACCTAAAGCTATTGTAGGATTCAGCAGGATTGGGTAAAGTGGCTTCACATGCAGTATATTAGCTTGTGCTACTCTATAGGGGCTTGATTCCCTTTGAACCCCAGAGTGAGGAGAATGTGTCATTGGCTCCTGCACAATGATGGGTTTTAGAGGATTTGAATATGATAGGTGGGACTGTTTACAAAAAGTGACATTTTCTCAAGTTTGTAATTTGATTCTTGTTTTCTGTGTCCCAGGTGATGTCGGCAGTGTTGAGATGGCTCCCATTCAGCAGCATCAGTTCATCCCACTCACTGAGGTCCTCTGCCTCATCATCTCCGAGATGAACAAGCGCAAACTCACAGCAACCCCGGACTCCATCCGCGACAAGCTGGCTGAGTGCTATTCTAAGATGCCTGTGCCCAACCCGGAGATCATCCTCAAGTCCCTCAACCACCTGATGATGGAGAGGAAGATAGAGCAGAACGGCAATAGCAGAGGCTACACAATTGTCGGCCTGGACAAGCTGCCCCCAGAAAGCCCCTCTGGAGACGAGCTGGAGGTTGTCATGGCTAAGCCCAAGGCCAAACCGGCTCCCTCGTCACAGGAGGATCGGGTGTATCTGGTGTACAAGGACGGTGCCCTGACCAGACACACCTTGCCAGCATCCTCCAATATGGTGGATAAGAGCACTCAGACTGTCCGTACCCGGAGTGATTCCTCCTCTCCGAGACCAGTGTCCTACCCAGCCAATACCAACATGAGTACCATTTACGAGAAGAGCCACACTATTGGGACGAGCAGCCCATCCAAGCAGCGGAATGTGGAGGCCGAAGCCAGTCCCTTACAGCGGAGTCATTCCATGAGGGAGCGGCGAAGTCCTGCCAAGCGGAACAACTTTGATCGTACAAGCTCCATGCGAGCCAGGACCGGAGAGATTGACACGGGATATTTCACCTCAGATTCGGAAGCCAAACAGTCATGCTTTGGCCGTCTCCTGGGCAAATCAGCCAAGAAGAAAGCCATTATGCAGAGCAGCATCACTCACCAGACATTCTCGGCTCAGTTTCCACCGTCAGACATTCACGATCCATTCTTCAACTATGCTCACTGGCTTGGGAAGTCACCTCAGAAGGTGGCCCTGAATTCAGTGGCTTCCTCCAGCCCCAAAAACAGCAGCAGCAAGGATAAGACCAAGTCGGGGAGTGGAGCATCCCCATCTAACGGGACAGGGACATCGGCAAAGAAGGAAGGATCCAGGAAGGGGCACTCTTCACACAAGGATGTCAACCATTACCATGTGGAGCATGGTCGGTTGACACAAACTGCCAAAATGCTGCAGCAGAAGTACCAGGACAAAGCCCAGGAATCTATGCCTGAGTCGGAGCAGGAGTTCCTGAAACCAACCCAACTGTACGACGACAAATTTCGCACCAAAGTCGTTTCTCAGCAGATTCAGTCGGTGAAGACCACCAAGAAGAATGACAAGGTGAAGAATTACTTCACGTCTATTCAGAGCAACAAGCCCCAGCAGATGACGCCCTTTGAGGGGATCAGCACCGATGACCAGAACGACTCGGAGATGGAACTGCAGCGACGGAATGAACTGGCGGCCGAGAAGCGACGTCAGAAACTGGAACAACTGAAGGAGCGCAGACAGGCACGGATCTTCACCGCCCACAGATCCATGAAGGAATCTGAGATGACTGACCCTATGGATTATCCATCTGCAGGAATGGAACAGCCTGCCAGCTCTCTGGGTCATCCCACTAGCCCTGGAGGGAGTAACGCCAATGATATGGAAACTCCAGAACCAATAAGACGGCAAGTGATGGTGATGAAAAGAACAGAAAATGTTGAGGTAAAGCGTGCTGAACTCAGTCCAACCTCGGGCCCTTTCCCTGCAATTTTACAAACGCCAAAGAATTATAATGGATACAGACAGTCTGAGCCCCAGACTAACTATAACGAGCCCACTGAGCATGAGCAGTATTACCGCGATGAGGAAATTGACAATTACATGCGGGAAGAGCAGCGTAAGCAGCTGATGGATAATATGGAAGATCCCATGTGCTCACCGCAGCGGGATACCAGTGGTTTTGTCTTATATTCACAACACCAAGGGAGGGATGTCATTGCTGATTGCAGAGAGGGAACCAGCCAGATGACAATGGCTGTCAACCCACGTTCCATGTCGCAGCACCTTGATTACATGGACAATGAGCGTCCACCTCCCCCGCCGCCCATCCGCTTCAATTCCCAGTCGGACCGTAGCCCCGGGCACCAGCCTCCAGTTCACAGTGTCCAACCTTCTCAGGTGATGATGCAGAACCCGATGGGCATGCACCCTGCGTACCCCCCTCAGATCCCAGTCCACCAGCGGTTGGAGAGCCTCTCCAGCTCCACAGGGGACAGCGGGTTCAATTCCCCGCGATCCTCCCTGGCCCAGAGCCACAACAACAACTCCTCCCCGATTGATCACATGGCCTCCTACGACCCCCTCCACAATCGGCACAGTGCCACATCTGGCATCCCTGTGCTCATCAAGCCCATCCCGCGTCAGACCCAGAACGACCTGGACAACCAGAACCTGGACAGTGGCAGTCGCATGATCAAGTCCACCTCCAATCCGACGCATCTCCACTCCACGTTCTCTGAGCAGCCCAACAGTGCGGATTTGTCGGTAAAGAGGAAATTCAAGAGTTCAGACACTGTTGACGCTAACTCAGACACATCAGAGAAGACAGTATATAGCTCCATAAGTCGACGGTCCAGACTTGAACGTCCCAAAAGCTTTGAAGTAATTGGAACAGTATGAAACTCAGTAGACCTCCAAGTTTTGACACCACACCCTTCTGTGAAGGTGTCCAAAAAGCTTCAATTTCATTTACAATGGGAAAGTCTATCATTACAGGAAAAAGATCTGGACGTGTGTCACATATTGATATTTAAGCACATTGTATATTTACAACTGCAAGAGGAAACTGCCTTTTCCCCTGGCAAAATTTGTAACTGACATTTGCCAGTGGCATCAGACATCTAAGGTTAGCTTTTCGCTCTGAGTTTAAATTCGTTAAAAACCAAAGATCATCTAGCTTTGTATGTGTATTGTGTTTTAAGTGAATTTAATCGGAACACATGTAAAATGTAATCTTAAATTATTGCACAAAATGTCAGACATAGTCCATACTATTTTTGCGTTGGTTTGTCTTTCACTTTCATAAAAGATCGTAGATCGTGAAAATTGTTCTTTTGATTTTTATAACTTGTAGACAGGTGGTGGAAATTGTTCCATAGTTTAGCAAGATCTACTGGGAGACATTTACAGAAGTACAGTATATCTACTACTGATGGCTCTTTGAAAAATGGAAGGGGATTTTGCAATGTCAGTATCTTTGTCAGCTCATTGTTATTTGAAGGAAATTATGACTTTGAGGATGTGTGGAATTTCTGTTTATTCCCAATCCCGAATTGTTCGTGGGTTATTTATTTTCATTGAAATATATATGTACATATACATGTAAATATTGACAGCCATTACAAGCTTTACATGTGTGAAAAGTCATGTTCGAAATTGGGTCCTCTTTTCAATATTTTTGTTTTGGGTTTCTTTTCAGTATTCCCTGTCATTTTTGTTTTCTTTTGCAAAGTACTTGGGATACTGCTGAAAACGGATAGCAATACATAATTGGACAAGCATGCACTTTTGTAACGCACCCTTTTGAGTAGGGTGCTGTGCTACTCAAATTTTTTGTACAGAATGTCAGCTTGGAAGCACGAGTTATTGAAGCTTTTGTAAACCGTTTAGTATTGCAAGGCATGGTGTCCTCAAAAGAAGCCTATTTGTGAAGTGATTGTGTGTAACAGTAATGGAAGCCGTGAACACTCTTTGAAGTCCTTGTAATTTACGTGTATAGGTCACTTGTAGAGTAAATATCTTTGTATATGGTTTAGAGATTGCACTGAGAATTTGTCTTTGCTGTTAATTGTAAATATTCACTGAATTGTAAATCTACTGCAAAAATGTTTTATGATGCACTGGTGTACGTGGGCAAATTCATTGAAATGGACAGACATCCGTGCAAGTTTTAAGTTTACGTAGATTAATGCAGCGACCAGAATTAGAGATGGTTACTGCAGCAGCCTCACGCTCATGTGCAGGTGATATGTGAATGTTAAATACGTCTCCAACCAGTTGGGTGTTGTGATTTGCCCAAATCAGCATGCACCTGAAATTGAATAATGCATGTGTGAGTGTTGTGTGGTACCACTTTAGTAATGGTGTCTCTTCACATTAGTTCCCTTTAGTCCGTTCTTTTTAGAGCTACCAACTCCTGTGATTAAAAAAAAAGAGAAAAAAGTGCCAGATCTTATTCAGGTTTTAAGTGGCTATGGCTTTTGAAGTGGCTTCGTCTTAGGATTTTTTTTTGTTAGTGTGCTATGGAGAGAAGTCTTAGCCATGGACAACAGTGCCTGTTGTTGCAAAGCGCCAGTTCTGAAAAACAGCCATTCCGTTCACCTGGGATAAAAGAGTCGGGCACCTCCTCCGTCGGGAGAGCATACGTGTTGTAAATAATATGGATTTGGGATGCAGGATTTGAAATGGAGGAAGGCCCATGGACTGTTATTACACGAGGGTTTTGACCTTACATGAATGTGGGATTTCTTGCACGGATCTCTGTTCCATTACTGTGATATGCTGCCTTGGTAATGTCTCTATAAGTACTGATTCACAAACCACTCCTGTTAAATTATTCTTTCCAGTATTTGTAAATTTCCTTCTTATTTGTCCTTAAGTGGTACGGTTGCATTGCAGGTGATCGCACTTTCACATTTTATAAATCAGTGTACCTAAATGCATGCTGGTGTTCCTGTGTTGCTTGCAGAAATTATTACCATATGACAAGGTTTGCTTGAATGGTGGGCCAAATTCTTACAAGTAGAAAGTGGCTGTGATGCTGGAAGAGTCTGTTGCATGACTTTCTCAAGTGTTGCTGCTAAGTTGACTTTATCAAGTGTTCCTCAAGTGCCCACATTTTGCTTTTTTTATGCCTTATCTTACGTTCCTTGCTTAGATTCTCCAGACTTTTATTAAACAAGCACTTCAACTCACATATAATAATCAAATGGAATTTTAATGTTGATGCTTGATATAATGGTTCATGTCTTTTTAAAATTAGTTTTCACTTTTTGGTAACTTTGAGATTGCTCAGATTTGTGTAATTCTAAGATTCCGAAATCTATAGTGTGAAAAACAAACTTACACAGCTATCAAAACACCAAATAATAAACAGACTTGTAATTACCAAATATTATAAGGAAATATGGCTGTCTTTAAAAGCAACAGGTCAAATCTTGCCACCAACCAAGGGTGATATTTCTGCAAATTTGTGCACAAGTCTATAGATTAATAATTTCAAAAATAATAAGACAGGAAAATTTCAGATTTAATTTGAGCCAGCGAGAAAGAAAAAAACTGAAGTAGCATGCTTCAGGGGCAAAATTGGTTTCTCATCAAAGACCAACTCTATTCCTGGGAGGCAATCTACTGCACACACTCTCAGCTTTTTTTGGTTAAGTGTTGGTGACGATGCGAACCCCCTCAGGGTTCCAGGTGTTGCAATACCGGAGGGAACGATGGGATACTGCTTCCAGGTTGGGATTGATAATGGCAGTCATCGATGATAAGAGAATTGCTGCAGCTTGTGTGTGTGTGGGGGGGGAGCTTGTAGCATATGGGTCAGGGAGCAGTATCCAGGACATCCAACAATTAGACATCAATAGAGCAGATGATGAGCTTTAGGTAAATTCAAGAGCAAGTATCTACTGCCTGTTATGTGAAAGGGGATGCATCATTAGTCAACATAACACCAATGGTTGGATGACATAATACATTGGCCTAGTTTATTGTTAATAATGTAAACCATTGGTGACTGAGCCTTGACCTCAAACCAAACAAACTGAATGATAATACTAATACCTTGCATCATCTCTCCACCAAACTTGAGTCTTTTGATTGAATGGAAGTGCATTGAGCAGGTACCAGCATACTAATATACTCAACCTAATGAAAAAAAACTGTTGTTACTGGGTAGCTGATATAACACTTGGGAGGGGGGTAGATTTAAGTGGAATGACATGTTCATGAGCTGTTTGGTACTTCACAAAGGCAAGGCCAAAGTACCTGATGTTACGCCGGCTTGTACATGTTCAGTGCACCCGAGTCAGTGTACAGACATGCTAAAACGGCCAACCTCAAGTACACAAAACAATGCTCTTGAATGAGCTGCAAAGTGATTAATTTTGAGCGTGTGTGCTGAAATACCAAAGTGGCTCCAGGTTACTTCAAATGAAACAGTGGGATGAAGGCAGCATGATGAATGTGGACAGGCTTCATTAATGTGGCGCTGTGTTACCACAAGTGTCTTGTGTTAGTCAATATCAGCATGTGGACTTGTGTAACTGCAGTTAAGTGTCAAATGTAATGAAGAGCAATTGATGCTTAAGTTTTCTATGCCGTAGCGATAGAAAATTCCTGTTTTTAATAACATTAAATACTCGTAAAGTTAACAGTGGCTTTTATTCTGTGTGTGGTTACCATGGCAATATTGTGAACTTTCCCTGTTTAAAATAGCATTCTTACTCCAGAATTATCCAATAAAACTATTTCATTGCCCTTCTGCCCACCAGTTGCCGGGGTCCCAGGCAGGAAATACTGTTTAGCAAAGTTATGTGATAAGCAAATGTGATAGGCAAAGGCAGTACGGATTGCTCAGCAGCTTTGGCTGGAAGCCTGCTTTGGCTGAACAAACAGTTTTTGTACTCTAAGCAAATTTGAACGCTTTGTAGCTCCTTGAAATTGGTGAAGATAGAACCTGAACTATAATCATGCCTGGATTGCCCTCAAGGAACACTTTGCTTTTGGTGCAGTGATGGCAGTCAGAAGAGATTAATTAGTGTGATGTGTGCAGGTCGGTGAATTCATGTGATTAAAACATTTGATCAAGAGGGGATTGTGATCATCCCAAGAATTGGAGTTGTCAGTGTTGCATTCTGTTATCTTGTGTAAATACAGATGACTGTGAGCAAAATAAATGACCCTGAGAAAGGTGTATTAGCCTTTTTGAAGCACGGTGGACACAATAGGAGGGCGCCATTTGAAGTGGGTAAATTTGGAGTACATACAACAGATCTTACTAAACCAAATAGCGCTTGCCTATTGTGTCTGCCATACCTCAAATAGGCCAATAGCCATCATTTGTACATACCTATATAAGTGGAGGATTATCCTGTCCTCTATTGGCCTGTGTATGTACAGTTAATATATCTTTTGATGTAGTTCATTTGAAGACCCCTAGGACATCATTCTCCCAGCTAGAGTACAGCTCCTTGTGACATTTATTTTTATACAGCACCTGCATAAATCACCGTCATCTGATTGGTGGATCGTTGATCACATGGCATTGCATTATTTGTACCAACACACAGCATGTGCATACCTACCTGTTTTACATATAAAGTGTGGACATTCCTTTGTGCTCCTCTGGTTAAAGAAACTTGAGGAAAATGCTCCTTTTTCTCCGACTAGGATAACTCCGAGCTGGATTTTTGATGATGATTTCCGTTCACAATTTTACAAAATAATTATAAGAACTTTTTTTTTGTAGGTAATGCTGATGCTGCCATCGTATGGAAACAGATAGAATGATGCCAAATGATTAAACAATCTCGGAATATCATGTTGGAAAATGAACGAATTCACAACTGGACAACTTCCAGTTTGACTCCGTTAATTAATCCAGCTGTACTCAGAAAATCAGATAATGGGGATTTATGCAGGTGTTGTATAAATAAATAATGAATGTTTCACTCTCATGCAGTGGAAAGAATAGTTGCATTTGGTGACTGATGAAATGATTTATTCCACTCGGCTTCGTCTTGTGTCCAGACCGTTTCATCTGTCACCTCATGCAATTCCTCTTACCATTGCACTTACACATTCATTATTTGTATAACATGCATTGGCTATTGCAGAACTTGATCTAATAATAAAAAAAGCAAATTAGGAAGAGCCAGGGTCAGATCTTTCCTTAATGACACCAAACCGACGATGCACATTAGTTAAACAGATGCATGGTTTGATCAGATGGGTCCTTACTCTATGATTAGATGATCTTGGAAACCAGGACCTGAATGAATAGGCCAGATTTAGATGAGCGTGATGACGAGGGTAAGAGGCCATATTTGTCATCTTTCAGCCGGCTTAAGATTTCAGTCATACGCATCAATCCAACCCCCTCCAACAGCTTTTCTACCTCTTAGTTTGATCAGCTTTATCTAGCTGAATATTCAGTCAAAATTAACCCATTTCTTAGTTTCCTTCATCTCTTTTCTAGGACATTGAGCTAGATCCCAGCTCCATGCTTATTGATGATCCTGACCCAATTTTACTGTCTTTCCCGAGCCATTGTTGCACCGATTCCTTGGTTTGGGGGCTAAAGCCGCTGAATCACCGGCGCTGGGGTGCAGGATTTTGTGCCATTCATAACAAATAATGGACGCGGGCCATTTAAATTGCAAACACAATTTTTTACTCCGTGAAAAAACTCCGATTGTAAGTGAATTACCTGCGGCTGGGAGAAGACGGTCAACGTGCCTGGGAGGAACGGTCGGTAAGGAGAGGACTCTGCCACAGTGGATGACGGATCATATACCTGCGCCTTAGGCTAATTATAACTTCATATGGTCTCCCCTTGGTCATGTTTGTATATTGCCCAATCCCAACTCGTAACATTATAGGTGTACAAAGCAGAGGATAGGGGCCTAATATAATATTGGGGGTGAGACACATATGACCCAGACGATGTAATCATTAATTGACTTACCTGTCCACGAGTTTGAAGGGTTCTTTGCACTTTCTGAGTGGCTCACCGAGTAGCAGACATATTAACCACTTGACCAGCAACTTTGCCCTGTAGATTTGAGGTCTTTGTATAACTGTTACAGGTAAAGCACCTTTTCCCTAGAATTCAGGTCACGAGCCCTAAAGGAAAAGGTGTAGGAATCTTCCATTAAACTATGTAACGGAAATGCAGTCCATTTGACGGTGTGTGAATAACTTTGCTTGAAACTGGCCAATGCACTGAATCAGTAAAATAAATTTAACTGGCAGAAAAACAGTAAAAAACATTCAGCTTTCTGAAGCCAACCAGTCATATCACACTTTTGCTCAACAAAGTGAGAGCTGGCAATAGAGTAAGAACAGAAAAAGCCTTCAAACAAGTGACAAATCTAAAAATTAAAAAAGGATTACACATGAAACTCTGGGGGAACTCCTGTCATTCACGATTTCAGACCTCACAGACCATGAACAAGAGGGTACTTTCTTTTTCCCCAAATTAAGTGGCAAGGACATCATGAAAAAACATGGAGTTTGACACAGCAATTTCCTGGTATCTGTGCTTTATTGCACTTAACAGTTCCCCAATATGGTGGTTAGATATACCAAACTTGGACATTTACCAAGACTGCTTCAAACAGAACTCCTGGAGAATATCTTACCTTGAAAGATCCCCCATAATGTCTCCACTCTAACAGTAACTGGAAATCACCATCGCGTATCGAGATACACTTGTTGTATTTGCCTATGGACTTTCCTGTTTCAAATGCATCAAAGCCAATAATGAAGTGGTATACTTGCATATATGTATTTGAAACTACCTTGGGAAAAGAAAGAAGAATAATCAGTGATTTGCACCGTAACCTAAAGCACGACTGATACTTCATAATAACCCCAATTTCATAAAGCTTGTTCCAACTTGCCTTTCATACTTTTGTTTTGTTTAATATGGCTTCTGAGCAGTTACATTTCTATATACAATCTATTTGGTTTTCAATGCATGTATTACTTCAAGCATGCTGCTTCAAAGATACGGATGTTAAAACGCAGAATAACAGACAGAAACATCCATGTTTCTAAAGTTAAGTGAAATACATGCCCCCCTTGTCACCAGAAAACCCTTCCATAATTTTCCCCGAAAGCCCAAACCCGCCCATACGTTTTGCAGATCCTCAACATCATATTACAATTTTATTAAACTTGTGAACACATTTCAAGCAGCGACCGTCTGTCCTTTAAATACAGTGATTACACATGGCTTACTTGGATAGTGGTGGCTTTATACTTCCAAAATATTACACTTGATTGTCAAAAGTGAGTATACATAATGCATTTAGTGCAGTCCATCTCCTCACAGCTACAAACCTCAGTTAGCAAGCAGAAGTTAGCCAAACTATTTCACACATTATTTGTTACGAGTAGAAACCACAAATTGAGAATTTGATACAAAGGAATGTACACATCATCTCATTTTGCGTGTCACATAGCTACCTACTGATTCAATCAAAACCTCCAGCCATGTACACAAAAGCACCAAGTATCAAAACTAAGAACCAAGTTGAAGATTGGAGTCTCATTCTCCGTCAATGTTTCATTGACATGACACCAAGTAACTTCATTGGTACCAACAGTATATATCGTAGTTCTTGTTAGAGAAATGTACCCCCCCCCAAAAAAATCCATTGTGTTGACCTTTTAAGCATTTCATGCAAACATTAACGGACAAGATAAGAGAAATTCAGTGCAGTACATCATTAATGGTGGCCTGCGTTACCATTCATCATTCACTACGATCAATGTTTCCACTCTGGTCGGTATCTTTCTGTTCTGGGGGGATCTTAATCACTTCTGACCGAGATTTCTTTGGAAATATCAACAAAGCCTGTAAGTTAAACCTTCCAGGAACAGGATGATTCACTGGATCGTGGACGACTCGATCAGATGCTGACATTAATCAGGAATTTCTGACAGAACTCAAATGAAAAATGAAACAGCGATGCCGCTAGACACTCTGCTTCCAGGGTGTCACTTGGCGGTTGTTATGTTGCATCAAGCAAGCCAAGATCTTCTGGCAATCCCACATGCGTACTGGCTGGGTAGCAATATGTAAACCATAAGTCTTCAGCTTTCTGGATTTATCAGGACACATATCACATCGCCCTGAATTAGTCACACAAAATAATAGTAATGAGAAATCTTTCTCAGCTACTTCATTAATGGTTCACGGATTCCAAACATCCAACATACATGTACATACCGTTTGAAAATGTGACATTTACCGGCAGACCTCAACCAATATTATTACTTTGCCTTCAAATCATACATAGTTTAACCAGCTAGAGGCATAACTGGTATACAAAAATGTCATGAGCTTCAATTCCAACCAAGTAAATGTAAGGTACTGTCCACAATTGCCATGTATATGTTCTGATTTAGTATCATTTCAGAAGAGAACAAAATCAGCCACTAGAGTGAAGACTAAAAAGCCAAAAAAAATTCTATCCATTTGACTGGCAACAAAACTTTCTTTATAGATAGAAACTTGTTGACATATTTACACCAGATTTGTAAAGTAGTTTCAACACTAATTTCACAGTTTTGGGACCATATTCTAATACTGGGCCTTGTGTAACTTTTAGAAATATTCAAAATGCAAAACAGAATGATATTTGTATTATGATTTAACTCTCTCAACATGCCATCACCTATAGCAACCATTTTGTATAAACATAATTGAATTCTAAAAGAAAAATTGACTGCATGATCTCAACAAGCACAAGATAATAAAATTTTAAATCTGACTTGCATTGATGTTCGTTGGGGCTCCCTGGTATTTTGGACAAAGAGGAAAATTTGGGCAGACAAACTGTCCCCATTTTTAACTTTACAGAAAAAAAGGTCCAAAATCAGATAATATAACCAATACTGGAAAGTACCACAGGACCATTTCCGATGTATGCTGCTTCCAAAACTTTCCATCAAACAAACAGTGCTCATAAATGTACATAGTTTGGCCTAGTTTGTTGTTTACAGATAATAAAGTTGAGGAATGTGCGAATAAATGATGAAAGGCAGTGGTTAACACAGAACGACTTTTCTTTTTACAAAAGACAAGAAGAAATATAAATATTTACAAGAAACAAGTGCAAATATTCTAATCATATTTTCATAGTAATCTTTCTACCTTTGTTGCTCATACAGCCCACAATTTTCCTACCTGCATACGTAAGGACTTTGTTGTTCCTTCGGCATATACAACCCTGTTTTGTTTTCCTGCAAACATTGATTTGGAGCTGCTAAAATATGAAGCAGTCTGAAAGTCTACAACAGAGGCATTGATGGGAGCCATCTTGCTGGGCAGTTTGTATGTCCCACACAGAAAACTCTTTTGTGCATAAACTGTGGGACAACAGAGCTGGCCTGCAAGATGCGCCATGCACACCTCTATTCCTATGATTTCACTGGTATCCAGCCTTTAATGCATTTTTACCTACTTGTACATAATCATCCCAATGATGCCAGTTTTTAGTTGTTGGGTTTGATACCATCAGAGCTGTTACAATAACATGTACATGTAATTCCACAAATGTGCTTTAATAATAACTGCAGTAGTATGTACAATCAAAATACATTCATCATTACAGGCAAGAACATTTTAACTTGACTGACTATTGTACTCACGAACAGACACAAGCTGGAATGTCAAGAGTAGTAAGTCATAAGGTATTTCTAACTTGTTTTTATTTTTAACAAAATAAAATGGTACTGATCTCCTTCTGATATGAAAATGTGAGTACTTTCTACTGGTTGGACAACCCACTTATGTAGTCGACAAACCTAGTTGCCATTTGTCAGAACCTACACAATAGAACTTCATTTCATTTTTGTTGGAATCTAGAACTGCAGATTTTTGGGGGGCCTAAGCTAGTTTCTACTCCACACGGTAGTATGCTGAGAAGGATACTGTGCTTGATCACAAGGAAACAGATATTTGACGACCGAGCTTTGAACCTAAACAAAGAAACTTCGGAACAATTTATTTTGTACATACAATAATAGCAACTGTGAAGTAAGTGCTACTAGTATTAAAAATAATAAGCTTCATATATCTGAGTTTGAACGTAGACACCTTATAAAATTAATCTGTTTATTCTTGATTACCCATACAAATAGCTTATGATTTGATGTGATTATTTTCTCGATGTGAAAACAAGGTTATCTAGGGATGACCCGATTCTGCCAAACAATGAGTTGTCAAAACAATGTTTTCGGCAAATAAACGGACAGCTATTTGTCAGTAATCACATTAATTCCTTTTCAGTAGCCAAACAGTTGTTTAATTCTTACATATGCTTACATATATATTTTATATATTAAATATGGGTAATTATTTATAGAGTAAATATCTTTTTATTTACGAGTATATACAATATATCTGCACTAGAAAAAAGGTTGTTTGTTCATTTATATCTCCAGTCAGTAGATTGGAGTTCTGGTAATTAATAACTAAGCAACCGATAACTGAACCATTTTCTCTTTTTGAGGGGGGGTTGGATCCTCTTGAAAATTTGCCACATATTTCTAATTCTTTGATGTTTCTCCAATTCTTTGTTTCTTTACAAGGAGAAAAAATGTTACTCAGACTGATTAACAAGTTTTCAAAAATCATTGTGCTGGCAGAAAAGTACAGTTTTCTTGAATAATGTCCTCTTTTGGACCCTACAAACCTCAAGGAGAATTTGAAAATCCACCGGCCACATTTTTGAGACAACTGGTCAGAATGCGTCAATTCACACTGTTGGTTTAATTTACATATTCAAAAAATTTGCCCCAAAAAGATTTCTTGTCTTAATGATCCCTATTCTCAGAAATATGACAAAAATGTCAGTGGGTGATGGGACTGATCTTTCTGACTTATATGAGCTGTATACTGGACAAACATGTACATGTATGTCCGATGTATCATCAGGCCAAACAATCCTTCTGTGTTTAACACTGGGTCAGAACACTGACAGCTTCATTTCATCTGCACATCCCTTTTAGTAGAGTTTTACACCCTAAATGCTTGACAAGATAGGAAGAATTATGTGGATTTCATTCCCTGAATTTGTAGAGAGCTTGACAGGCAATGAAATGAACGTTATTTTGTAATTATAGGAAAGTTCATAATTCTCATGGATCCATGAAGAGATTGTATGGAGCTATGCAGCTATAGAATGACTTCAAACCTGTCTCTGTGAAAACTCTTTTTTGAGTTGAATTTACTATCTACATGACACAGAAAGTATAGATTGCCAAGAAAATTCTTATCACAAGACACCAATCAAGCTATTCTTTCCCCATCCAAGTGCACCCCCCCTTCGGACTTGGGACCCAACTTCATATCACACAAGTGTGAGGGCTAACCTGTCACTAGAGGACGCTCTACAATTACGTGACATCATATCCCTAGTGCTCTGTGAGGTCATACTGGCTGTACTGAGCCTTACCAAATCTCTCTTGTTTATAGTCTGATGGGCCCAGTTCTTCAGGACGTGTATATGCAGAATGCATACACGCAAAATGTGTACAGGCATGGATGTGCTCAGGCAAAACATGGTGGCTATCTGTGCACCTATGGATACTTCATGGGATTGACCCTGCATCAGAGGTCAAATGGACAACAACACGATGGTTGTTCTCAGACTTTTAACCCTTGAAATACAGGGTCCCTGTTTAGAATTAACAATGCAGTCAGGCACCCACTGTTTATATTTCTACACAGCGTGAGGTGGTCAGTTACCGGTTGCTCAGCGACCAGGAGAAGGCACTACCTGTGTTATCAATGCACCTTTTCAAGATGTAGTCCTGTCACTTAGAGTTACTTTCTCTGTTTCATGCCAACAAAATCATCTTCCAACCCAAACTGGTATAATTTTTTAACTAGAAATGATTTGCAATTTCCAAGCAACGGTGAGTTATTTAGTTCCAACTTAAATTAATTCTGATCCTCAAGAAGTCTAGGGTAAACTGATGTTGACAGATACCCCTTGAAAGACTGAGGCAAAGTCTAAGCTTGTACATGCAATAGGCCTTTTCAAAACCTTTACAGCAATTGTACATGTACATCTTTTAAATAAACAAACTGATTGCACCCATTGTGTGATTTCTCAACACAGATAAGATAAAGCCCCTGTACATTTCCCAATCTGTCAACAGCTATAGAATTACTTCAAAAACTGTCTCGGTGGAAACTCTTTGAGTTGATTTGAGTAGAAGCAAGACATAGGAAGTGTAGATAGCCGAGAAAATCCTGAGATAAAAAAATATGCTAGTGGGAAAAAAAAAAAGATTGAGAATAAAGAAGTCTTACGAAGTTGTCAGACCTGCCAATTGCGGCTGGGCTCACAACAGGGCCTGATGGATATCTACACCATGCTGTGTGAGGCCGGTCGCTGTGAGTACATCGGAATATTGATCAAATGGTGTCCACACAGAGGGTTTGGCTGTGACACACTAGAAGCTTAAACTGCTTTACACAAAGTGACAAAACGTGAAAGTGACAAAACGTGAAAGTGCCACCCAAAAAAAAGCCCCCAAAAAAGAAGAAACAGATGAGATGAAGTGAGATACATGTATATTCAAAACACTATTTGACGTGGCATGACAGAAATCGTTAACTGTCTTCGCTCCAGACGTTAAAGGATGGTTGTCGGTTGTCAGACTGGATGCTGCTTCGAGTTTCTTTACAGATATCAAAAGAATTCACACATTTATGTATCAAAGTTACCATACAGGAGTACACTTAATTTAAAACTAAAATGGCCACTTAAATGGGATTGTGTTCGCAACTTTGATTCTAACTTTGTACAAGCTGACCAAATACTCTCCTCGAAGAAGAAAGGAGGGAAGGGGTAATTCCATAATGAATTCATCACTGACCATCAACAGGGTCCAGGTGTTGGTCAAGCAGCTCTTGACCTGTTAACACCTTGTTGCTGACACCTCTCCCTTGGTGCCACGTCAGGGATGAATTACTCTACCTTTGGATTGCCTTGGGCTATTTTCATTGACAAGATCACACAAGCTCATGCAGGAATCTTGATAAACTTGTCAACTCTAAAATGTAAGCAGGATAGGAATGCTTGCGTTAAGAGTGGAGTGGGTTCAAGAAAGGACTCGTTCCCATTTTTCTTGTGTTTCCTTGTTACCCTCTATTTTCATTTCCTAAGACTTTTGTCCGTGAAGATTCTGGGACATGTATTTTACATTAACCCTTTGAAAAACTTCTGCTAAAAACCAAGATTTGTGCTGAAACTTGAAATTTGACTGAGATGTGACGAGATGCAAGCAGAATTTTTGTGCGTGAAAAATTCTACGTGTACCCCTTTAAGAAAGATAATGCAAAGCAAACTTTATGCAAATTAAAGGCACTATCGTGCAAGACAATATTTAATGGGACTTAAAACGAAAACATTGCAATATCGTATGGTAATTGCTTAACTTCAAAGCACAGAATTTCCTATTTTATTCCATAGGATTGGTGTGAATTCCTTAGCAGCATGGCAGACTTCGGACCAACAACACGGACTCCTTCAACGACCCCTCTCTAAACACAGGCAGCTACCGTCTCCTGAACCTCGCCAGTCAGAAGAGCAGGCACACCCCGGACTTCTTGTTCTTCTTGGTCTTGCCTGAGCTGGGCGTGGTGTCCTGGTAGCTCTGGTGCCGAGCCTTGGCCGAGGCCACAATAGCCTTGGGCCGGGAGGTGTCCGGCACTGAGCTGGTGGACTTGCGGGAGATGGCGGGAATCTGCAGTGAGGTCTGCTTGTGGACCAGCGGGGGCTTGGGCTTGATGGGGAGAACGGTGCTGGAGGATTCTGGACAGGAAGAGGGGAAAAAAAAAGAGGAGAGAATTACAGATCCATCATCTCCATGCGTTCAAGATTAAACATAAATCTGTAAGTGTCTAGGATACAACAAAGGAGAGGAATAACAGGCATTTAATCAAGTGTTACATATCTTCCATTTGTGGAAATCTTGTATCCCAGTGCAAAAGTGTGTTAGAAGTGAAGTCACCAACATTTTCTAAAAAGTGGCATAAAGGAGAAGGCTATAAGTTCAAAAATAGAAAACACATGCATTAAGTTACAAACGTCTGGGGTTGCGATAGGAATGTTTACAACAAATTCACAGTGTGAACATGTAGAGAACAAGATCAAGTTTGTTATGTGTGTTAACATGTAAGTGGGATAAATTTGTGATGGCTGATTACAAAGAAAGTTTAGAAGCGACCATAACAATTAGTCAAAGAAATTGAACACGGTCGAGATAACAACTTGCAACAAAAAAAGAATTTTTGGTTGGTACAAAAAGAAGCAACTTGATAACATGAGCTGGTAATAAAATGTTTCAGAAAATGTTCAAGTCGACATGAAATGGTTAATGCAAAACCATCTGTGAAAATGAACAACAATAAATCACAAAAATTGAATTACAAACAAATATACTATAGATGTTACAATTAGGACAATTCTTGTTACCTTGAATTGGGTGGTAGAAAACTTGCGTCTAACAAATTTAAAGACATACGACTTTAAATCCCCTCAAGAAAATAAAGTATTGTGAATGACAATCTGGTCTTATTGCTCCATACAAAAAATGGCGAATGGAGCTCTGTAGCTGGTATCCTAAATTTATGGCTCTACTGTGCAAGCAAAGACAAGAGATACATGTAGCACTGTGAAGGATTTGTGTGATGTGAAGCAGAGACAGAGATAAAAACTGTTATGAAATAAAGAGTTAGATAATCATTGGTACAATTTGGACACGGTGCTCAAAAAGGTTACCTTCAAGATTTAGGCATCGTAACATATACACTCTCCAATCAAGCTGCTTATAACCCCCCATAACATCCTTGCATGTTTTTGACAGGGGCCGTGAATAAGTTGGCATTGGTGTGTCCTTTTCTGCTTTCCACTGACATGATGTAATAGAGCTACATGGTTAAAGCGTTATGTCTCTCAGGTCACATGATAAGCATGAGAGAGAATTGAAGGTGCTAGAGAAATGGCGACAACATGCCTGAAGGGGTAACATGCTGATGAGGAACGGTGATGTGCAAAGGAAAAATCAGTTTGGTGGAGGAAAAACATCACAATTTCCAAACCTTTGACAGGAGAAAATACGACAAAAATGGTAATATTTTTGTATCTAGATTAACCCTGGGGAAGTTTTCCCAAGTACAGCTTCAGGCTTCAGTCTCATGAACAGTCTCCTGAATTGGGACCTTTGGCCCAAACGGAGTCCAACTCTGGGGGTTGCTTCAGAAACACCCATGAAACAGTGCTTCAGTCTTTTTGCTTTGTTTCTGAGACTAACTATCACAACAACAAACTGCAGCTGGAAATGAAACAGGGGTCCCAGCAGAAGCCGTGAGTTTGAAAATTGTCTAGGTGACAAAAAAAGCTCTCCAAAATATCGCTAATTCAGAATTTTGCCCAGAAGACCAGCATCGCAACACTTTTATAAGCAATCAATGCTCCTGAAATCTATTGCTGTGCCGGCCAATTCTTTTTCATGTCAAATATGACTCCATTGAGAATTTCTTCTTTTTACTGTGTTTAAGTAACTGCCATTTCCCACTGCTGTTACAAAAAACAGCACTGTTCAGTAACAGGTAACCTGTCATTTTTGTGGAACTGGTGAACACTTGAGCACTGCTTCATTAATCTGTGACTGAGAGCAATTTACGGGCTGAAAGGAATCCGACTTTTGTGGAGAAAAAACTTGTGCTCATTGAAAAGCTCCAAAAAAAAAATGGCCCAAAACTGCAGATGGTTGGGGAAATTGTACAACATCAGAGCAGAGGTTAGAATAAAGTTGAAGGTGAGGTAGCGGATCGTACGCTTGTTATTGGCAGAGAATGAAATATCTAAGTCACAAGCCCGGTCAAAGCCCCAAAAGGTCCAATGCTAACAACGTCACGCTGTTGTCATTTACATAGCCCTGTGACTTGACTTAAAACTGAATGACCTATGATGGACTTGAAAGGCTGACTTGACAACACTGGACAGGTGCACATATCTCCAAATAGAAAAAAGGAAGGAGATACGTGTAAATGCTATTGCAAGGGATGAGACAGACAGAGGTGTGGCCACAAGTTCATGGGATGGGGGTGATATTCAGATTGGAATTCCATGCAACATGATTATCAATGGACAACCAAACCGACCTTCCTCAGGCCCCGGCTCACTAGGTCGCGGATCTCGGGGGGCTAAAAAGTCAACAGAGTCAAGGGGAAACAAAAATTAATCAACCAAACCTGAATCCAGTCTGGTTGGAAAAGATGGAAGATCACTTGGTGAAATTGAAAAAAACAAAAAAACAAGAGGGGTTAAGTGACATGGTAGGAGCAGAAGCAGGTATTAAGATTTAGCGCTTATCTTAAACAAAAGAGCAAGATGAAGTTCACGAATGAGTCGATAAACAAATTTATATAACCTGGTGAATGTATTAAATTTTCCCAGAGGATTAGAAATTGCCATACGATTCTATCAAATCAAGATCACTCAAAAATCAAACAATCACTTTGATAATGCTTTATTCACAACAGGAAAAACATTACTCCTGGAAAAAAAAATCACCCGACCTAAAATATATGGGTGATCTTTAGGATCCAAGGGATCACAAGACAGAGAAATGTAACACTTGAGGTTTGATTGGCTTAATTATCACAACTAAATCCAAAGTAACAACCAATCATGATTTTTACCCCAAAAGCTTCAATCTGTAACAGCAAAGGCAGGTCCCGTACAACCAAAAGAACCATATCAACAAAATCTGACAGTACGGTACCATTTTTCCAAACTGCCCTTTGTCTCTGGGTTTCACTTTCCCTGTGTCTACAGTTCCAACTCCTGGTCTTAAAACCGAGTCAGATGGAAAAACGCCTGTGTATGGTTTCATGGAATATAATTCACCATTGCTAAAGCAAAAGAAAGAGCCATGTTGAATGCAAAGCAAAGTTGGAGGTTCCAGACGTAGACAAAGTCATGGTTTGAGACAGGCATGTGGTAGTATGAGGGGCAGCAGGTTTGGTTGCTGAAGGGGGGGGTATGAATGCATGTAGAGGTGTGTGTATCATCAGGCTGGGGGAGAACCTTCATAGCTTTCAGGGTTTCTAATGAGGAGTGCCTTGCTCATGAAGTGCTTGCACAACAAATAAAACTTGTTTCGCTAAACAAAAACAGCCATGCAAACAAAACACATTTTTGAAAAAAAAAGCAACAAAAACACATTTTCATCTAACAATTATTGAAAAGTCATATGTGTGAAAACTGTCAGAGGGAATTTCAAATTCACAAGGATTGCTTATGATAGGACCTCTAACAATACCTCATCGAAAAGCTACAAATGCTGGTAAGATTACTAAAATTCTGACACATCTGTCTGATCTTGCTGCTGCAAAGGCTCTATAGGCTTCTACAGGCAAGACATTCTTATAATGGGATGTTGTTAGATTGGTGTTGTAGACCCATGTGACACTGTAAATGATACCAGATGTGGATTTACATACATCATGCAAGGGCCTGGGTCCCACATTTTGAGGGACCCTCCCACAAATGCCAGCCATGTTTTCGTCCTGATGGTAAAAATCAGAGAGTGGATTACAGGGGAAAAATTTCGATCTTTGGCCAACTCTTTCAATTGCTTTACCCAAGGTCTATGTCACATTTCTTGGGCTGGGGATATCCCACAACCATAATCCTGGCTGGTATGGCACTACACGGCTGACTGAAAGCCAAGGAAGAACATGCCATGTGCATAGGAATGCTTTTGACTGATTTCCAACTGCATGTGCAGATCCTTATCTATTCACAGGGAAGCCATGTGATGATGCTCCCTGGATCTATCTTGTTCAATGTAATCTGTTACACGGGATGGTGCCAGACTATTTAAGGTTCCAAGTCTCATTTTCATTTCCTCTATAAATGTGACTTAAACCACTTAGATATAAATGATCACAAGATTTGAAATATTCATCGGTGTCCATTGGCATTAATTTGTGATGAACTCTTGATTAGTTGCTTTCATTTCTATTCCCAGGTTCCAAAAATGAAAACTTAACTGTGCTTTCAATTAAATATGGCTGCCTTGTAAAGAAGGCTATTAGAGTATTCTCGTCACACGTATTCATGTGACGAGAATATATCGTCATGTACATGTGTGTGCACAGTGGAAAAGACACTCGTGTGCCTTCTTTGTAAAGTCATCAACTGGATTTTTTCAACTCTAGCAGCCATCGTTGGCAGAATAGTAAGTGTGAGGGTTGTTATTGTACGCGTTGGGTAGATATGCATGGTAAGTGTGGTTTGGTGAATTGTGACCAGATGTCACAAATTAAACAAGTCTTTAGGCCATATCTTTGAGTAAGATTGTTGGCCTTAGAAAGAGCAAGCTGAGCTCTGGTTTGATGTATCACTTAGTTTGGCATCCGTGGCCATTTCAATTAGGGACTCATTTTAGTACAACTTGCTCTATCGTTATCTTTTCTCCAGTGGTCTCTCCTCAATCCAACCATCCTCTCTTTGATCAACTCACCTTCCCGGATGTCGATGTCCACTTGGCTCTGCGACTTGATGTCAGTGGCTGGGCTGTTGCGTAGGCAGAGCAGCGGCACACAGCCTCCCTCGAGCAGCCGCACCACGATGTGGCTGGCGTCAAACGTCATCTGCAGCTCTGCCACGGGGATGTTCATGTGGAATGCCGTGACCAATAAGCCGGTCTGAACAGCCCAGACACGGACTGTACCATCATGAGAACCTGTTGACATTGGAGAGGTAATGTGTCATAACTGCATCACACTGAACAGAATGAATGACACCAGCGTTGAAGTTTAAAAACCTACAAGTCCATCACAAATCACCCAGTCTTATGTCATGTCCATAAGCTATTAACCACTTCGCGCTGGACCGTTATCAATGTTCACGCTACTTTTTCATTTTTTTTTGTCTTAAAAATTCTTCAAAAATGTATATTTTTGTTTTCTGCATGCATACACCCAAAAGAATGACAGTCCTGTGTCAACTCTAATCTGACAGGCAACCTCCATTGACGCGCGAGTATTGCAGCCACACATGCTGCCCAGTAAAGAGCCCCCATTATGCGGTGTCGCATAATGTCCTCTTTGTTCTGGGAATTAGCCCAGTGCGTTGTTACACTGGATGGATGGTGTTGCTATGCAGGGTGCGTGGGCCATGGGGGGGGGGCCCGGGCCATTCATCGAGCACACCGGCACGATGAACGTTACACATTACAGCCAGATTCAATGAGCGTGGAGCGGTACTGTATCGCTAATTGCTGGATTGTGTGATTTTGTCTCTGCTGATAATCCGTGGGCACTGGCAGAGAAAAACAATGATACCGTTTCAAAACAACGACGGATTATTTCAATATTAATATATGCTGGGTAAGGGCAAAAGCCATATTTAAATGATGGATTACCTCTGCTAATGGCCAGCACTGTGCACTGACACTGTACGAACCTTCATTGGCAAGTCCTAGCAGCTCGGTCTTTTGTTTCCAAGTTCAGTCACCCCGGCCATGAATAAAGGCCCAGTTTTCTGGTCCAGTGAACCCATTGTTGCAAAGCAATGATGGAATTACCTTCGTTGATGGCCCAAACTTGTTTTCTGACAGCAAGTAAACTTTTCTTAAAACACCTAGCAACTTTAGTTTTTTTTAAAAGAAAGTTTCAATTTCGGGCACCTCGGCCCTGTGGGCCACGCACTGTGGGCCACGCACTGTGTCTCCAGTAGTGGGTTCCCCGGTGCAAAGTGGTTAAAGGGAACTGTAACAGAAGTTGTTGTCATTTTTCATGCCATTGCTTAAGACTGGTGTTGTGGAAAGACTTGTCACTGGACTTGTAACTAGTCTTGTGAAGGGACTTGTGATGGACTCAACTTCACACTGGATGACACATGCTAACTCAGAAGATGACATTCTCTTTTCTGGTGTGCTAATGATACATCTCCAAATACAGAAGTTGTACAAAAGGGTTCTCTTGTTTGCTCTTACCTGAGACCACAATACTGCCGTCACTAGTCATCTTAGCACTGGTGACGATGTCCGTGTGGCCCATCAGCACCTTCTCAATCTCACCTGTGCCCATGTTCCAGATGATCAGAGTCTTATCATGTGACCCCGAGATCACATGACGGTTGTGGTCGGCCAGGGTGACACAGGACACTTTGTCATCATGGCCAGCAAGGATCTGTATGACAAGGTGATGAAAAATGTCTTTCTTTACGATAGGGGGAATCAGGGATAATTTGTATTTTAAATATGCTCACTTCTAAAAAATAAATCAATAAATGCCAACGGTTACGGACTAAACTTAAGTGAAGAATAATAATAGAACTTTGCACTCATCCATTCAGATTATTTGATGAGTACATTCTTGTAACTTCTTCAGGATGCATGTGACTTCTCCATTATGCAAGTAAAGATTGATTTTGTTTTTTTAAGTCTAGTCCTGAATTCTGAGCACTGTGAATTTTGTCAGAAATTGTAACAGAACTTCCCACACAGCCATTGTGAAAAGGGGTGGGGGTAGGGTGGCACTTGCTCTGCCCAATCAGAAGAAATGAAAACGGGGAAGAAAGGAAGGAAAAAGCAAATGTCAAAAGAAACAAAAAGAGGAAAGGGGATGAAAATCACTTTATTAAATTTTCTTTAAATACCTCTAATTTGGCCCCTTACCACAGTTGATATTTTGCCAGTTTGCTACTGATGAGTGCTCTGCCCCTCCATCCCCTCCTCCCCAAGAAATCTTGGTATTTGCCCTTGCACAAGGCCCTGTACCAACCTGTCCCATTGCAAACTTCCATTAGTTAGCAAATCTCAATGCAAGTTGCTGAAATGTGTCTAAACTAGAAACTGAATGCTCTTCATTGCATTGCTATAAGAATTTTATTAAAAAAATTTCCATCTAGGTCAAACTTCAGAGGGTGCTGACCTGCGTGAGCTTGCCGGTTTCTGTCTCCCAGATCTTGAGGGACATGTCCTCGGAGCCTGTGATGGTGAAGTGGTTGTCCCTGGTCACCGCCAGGCAGGTGATGGTCTCCACGTGGTTGATGGTCTTGACCGACTCGCCGCTGCCCACTGACCAGATCTTCATCAGCTCGTTCCCATCCCCGCTGATGGCGAAGTCATTGTTCGGGGTCAGGGTGACCATGGAGGAGGGGCCACTGCAGGACAGCAGGACCTGCCGACCAAATAAACAAGGGAAAACATGGGTTACCTGTGCCTACCAATACCAATGGCCCATCCAGCGTCTGATACTCGGGGTACAATGATGATTCTAACATATCAGTGTTTTAGCAGTCTTAAAAACCTTGAAAACACATGCATTTCATTCATGATTTGCTTCAATTTTCTTAGTTATTAGTTTCAGGTCAAACAATTCAGCACTGTATATTAAGTCACAATGTATATTATTAATTGAACCATCCAAATGTTACCATGCTAGCAAGCATGTCTCATGTTTGTATTTTATTTATATTTTTTTCTGTTTTCAAAATTCTTTAAAAATTCATAACTTCATCTTCTGGACGTTTACACCCACACGAATGACTGTCTGGTGGCTGCTCTAATCTGACAGACAACATTTATTAATGCCCGCGTATTTCAGCCACGCCTGCTGTCTTGCAAGAAGAGCCCAGATTGTGCAGTGTTATGTACGTTTCTTTTGTTCCCGAAACCGGCACAGTGCACTGCTGGCGTCTTTTCAACAGGGGCCAGATTAGTATGCAGCGGTATTGTATCGCTCATCACTGGAGCGCTTTTGTCCTCGGTGGTAATCCGCTTGCGCTGAATGCCACAAACAGTGGTATAATCTTTCAAAACAATGATAGATTTCCTCCGCTAATGACAACTGAAAAAATGTTGGCAATTCCCAGCAGCCCGGTCTTTTGTTCCGAGTACGGTCTTTTGTTACAAGGCCCAGCTCTTTTGTCTGGCTTCAGGCTCCCCAGCTTCGTGTATAAAATCTGTGAATGTCCACGAATGCGGGTACCCGGTATCTGGTTAAATGCTTGTTTGACCAAAAGGAAATGATGACTTGCAAAACTACACGAGGAAGCCATACAGGTTTGTGAATCTTCCCCAAACAAAACTGAAGAATCAGTCAAACTTTCAATAGAAAACCCCATTTATTTCTCACAAAAGCAATCACTACCCCACAACCCAAATTAAGCCTATAAACAAGCTCACACAGTAAGAAACAGGTCAGGAAAGGTTAGATCTCTGCAACAAGCAATTTGGGTGTCTAGTCAAGGTCTGTTTCCATACCTCCCCTGATTCTGCCCTCCATAGCTTCATGTGGTTGCTGTAGTCAGCTGACAAGATGCGCTTGTTGTCCGACGTGATGAGGACGTTTGAAATGACATCGGAGTGTTCAGTGAAACACACGACCACCACCCCGGAGCCAGCACTCCAAACACGCACTGACTTATCCTCAGAGCCTGGAAAATGTATAAAACTACCTCTTTACTCAGTACACTTAAACCACTTCCTGCCAGGTGGAGTTTGCACATGAGGGACCAATTGCCCAGTGGTTTTTTTATGATTTTCCATTTTCATAGTTGTTCAAAAATTCATTATTTCATTTTACTACTGGACGCTTACACCTACATGAATGACTGTCTGGTGGCTACTCTAATCTAACAAGCAACTGCCAGTCACTCTGCAGTATTGCAGGAAGGCCTGCCGCCTTGTAGAGAGAGCCCAGAATTGTGTGGTGTTGCGTAATTTCTTTTGTTCCCAAAATTGGCCCTGTGTGTTGCTGAATGGCAGTGGTGTCTTTACAAATGTGGCCATATTAGCATGCAGCGGTATTGTATCGCTTGAATGCTGGAGCACTTTTGTCCCCCCTGATAATCCGTGGGCGCTGAATGCCACAAGTAGTGGTATACTGTGTCAAAACAATGACGGATTACCTACGAAAATGCCAGCACTCTGTGCTGAAAACTTTTGGCAATTCCCAGCTGCTCGGTCTTTTGTTCCCAGTCCGGTCTTTTGTTACAAGGCCCAGTTCCTTTTGTCTGATTTCGGGCTCCCCAGCCATGCATATAAAGCCAACATCTCTGGTACCGGGCTCCCCATCGCTGAGTGGTTAATGTTTCTCAACATATTCACGTGGTCCTGTATATACTCACTGGAAATGTAGCTTTATTTTCCATTTTGCTGAGAATTATATCTTTCTTCTTTTCCCAGTAAACTTAAAATAAAAGCTGAAAATCTAGAATAAAATTAGCCAAAAAAGGCTCAGATATTAAATATTCATAAAAGGGTGTAAGCAGGATATATCTAATTTGCATAAGCTGGGCATGACAGTACATATTCCAAATTGGGCATATCTCAGAGACAGAAAAATCTGTGTCATCTGCAGGGGCAATATATATGACAACTATTAAACTAATATTCAAAGGTGGGGATGGTTAGACCTACCCGAGACAGCAAAACTTGCATCATCTGCCAGCGCTACGCATGTAATTGGCTTAGTGTGTTCACAAAGGATGTTGATCATTTGGCTCTGCTCAAGGTTCCATAGTCTCAGTGTACAGTCTGTGGAACCGGTGATGGCAAAAATTCCTTCCTTGCTCAGAGCTGTTGAAAGGAGAAGAAAAAATTTAAAAAATGGTCCAATCAAAGCAATTCCTGAGAGATATTTATAGATGTGAATTTTTGTGTTGGACAGATATTCTTTTTCTTTACTGGAGTTTTGCCCTTTATCAAAAGCATATTTGTAACACTGTATACCCCCCCCCAAAAATTAACATCTCCGCAACATACAAACAATCACATCTCACGAATATTATTTGACACAGTACCCACTGCTGATTAACTCAAACTGGCCAGCCAACCTCAACAAACTCTTTGGTCGAGTGCTAAGACGTCTGCACTTCTAAGCAGGATGTTGTGGGTTTAAGTCTTGAGAGAGTAAGCTTGTAAATTTTTCACAAGCCCTCGGACAACGATGAGTACACCTGTACTGTAAATATATGCCACTGAAGGGCTGAACTGACAACAGATATAAAAACTTTCGGAGACATGCTAAACGGGACAGCTTTCAGCTAGCTATCCCACGTCAGATGTCACATCTCTAAATAATTGCTTCACAAAAGAAACTCAGTTCATTAGACAAACTTCACTTCTAATTGGTGCTAAGGACAAAAGTGAAGACAACTGGCAGATTTGTCAAAGTACCTCAGTAGGAAGAATAAGCCACTGCTCAACAGCCACGTATCCAAACCCTGCTGAAGCCAATTTCCTTGAATTCTTACGTCAGCTTAATATCTCATGAAATTTCCAATCTTCCATACACACAAGCCTCTTTGGTCAAACGGTATAGTGTATCTCAAGGCACAATGGAACACCAGATTTACAACCTGACCTGGGGTAAAACCTTATTGATGGAGCTATGCTAACTGGCCTTTAAAGCTGGCATGTTCAAAAGAGAAACAAACAGAAGAGCAACATGTTTCGTTGGGATTGAGTTGGCCATGAATAAATGTCCTGCCTCAAACCTCTATCTTATGGGCACAATGGATCTTGACAAAATGAGAAGATTATGTGGACTCAAGCTGACAAAACAGACTGGTGTCTTGGGGCAGCACTTATTGGCCATTCTGATCCTCAGAAGGGGGAAAACACGAGATGGATTAAATTAAATCTGGTGAAAGCTGCAATGATGTGCATTGCCCCGGGGTGGGGGGGTTTGCACCGAGTTGAGACAGCTGAACTTTGGAAACTTATCTGTGCAGACATCGAGCTTATCGATCATATCATGACATCCCTCACAGATCAACTCCCCTGAAGGTGTCAAGAATTTTTGTTGAGAATTTGCAGTCAAGATCCAGTGCTGCCAACCAGTGTAGGATGTAAAACGTTGGTTGTTCTTGCCAAAATATATATATTTCCTCTACAAGTCACAAGATAATTGAGGGCCTCAGGCAAAACACAAAGCACTCAGAGAAACACTCGCCTTCGACAGAATCTGGAACTGTCCATGTTGGCATTTGCGAAACAACTTGGGGTTTTTCTTTTTACACTGAACAAATAATTCCAGATGTGAGTTATTCTAGATAGTTGCTTTGAGTGATAGAGTCCAAAAACATTATCTTTATGTAATTCTTTTTATTTGGTCCTTCCATTTTCCACATGTTCCACATGGCCAATTTGAGCAACCTTCCATACTCTATCTACAGAGTAGATACCGAGTACATTTCTTCGGATTTTAAAATCTGGCTGTGTTTTCAAGAGCAATCTTTAGGACGCAAAACCTTCATACCTGTATTTTATGTCACTTCTGCAGTTTGTGTTACCTTCAAATTAAATTGAAAATAAATTGTGTTCTCAAGCAAGTGACACAGAGTGGCTTTACAATGCTTACTAATGAATTCATCGTGGGGGGATTAGGAAATCATGAGCAGTACAAGACTTTCAGCAGTGCATTTGTTAATGTATTTTTAATGCAAAGTAAAAAAAAAAAAGGAACTACAAAATCAGCTGATATGTAGAAAAGCTGCGTACTTGCTCACTTGACTGGGTCACAAACGGTGTGTTTAGACCACAGCAAGATGGCTAGTGGTGGAACTATTTGACCTACCGATGCAGGTGACCTTGCTGTGGTGGGCGAAGGGCGACACCTCTGAGTTGGACTTCTTGGGCATGTTCCAGACCCGCACGTGGCCGTCCATGCAAGCAGTCATCATGAAGTGGCCGTCCTGCGTCACGGCCACCTTGGACACCGAGCCGTTGTGACCTGTCAGCGTCTGGACAATCTCCCGCGACTTGATGTTGTAGACCAGCACCTTGTGCTTGATGGTTGCAACGGCAATGTGGGTGCCGTCCGCACAGTTACTGAGGTCGACAATCTGAAAAAAGACACCAGGAGGCTTTGAAAATGGATTTCTTGGCAAGGGCAGAATGAGAGGGGGGAGGAGAAACAGGCAATGGCATCACTCCCCCCCCAAAAAAAACTTTAGTTTCGGAAAACTTATGAGAGAGAAAATACAGTCTTAACCCTCAGAAATGCCATAAAAGGTTATATACAGAAATGTCCTAAATTTCCTGAAATTTCTAAAAAGTCTTCCATGACAAAAGAAATAGCTGTTGCCTTTGTGTTTGATCAAACATTTCATGCCTTGACCACTGAGCTTTTCACCACCAATCAGTAACCTACAACTGGCCAAACAAGTTAGTTGGTAGACAGTAACATCTTTACAACAGCCAGAAACTAATCACATGCCATTTTCTGAAAGAAACGCTGCCATATTCTGTTACAGTATACTACACGTACCTTCAAATTCTTATCACAAAATCTGCAAGAAATCTGCCCAGTTTAGCTTCTTTTCTTCAGCAATAATATTTCTTGCCGAGTATGCAGCACCTCAGTGCTTGTAGACTCCAATGATTTCAGGCAAAATGAAATTGATATTTATGGGTGGCGCTTGAAAAGAAAAATAACAGGAATTTCAAATAATATGAAGCCGGGTAATGCTTACGTTTTCATCATGCTGTTCAAGGCAGTGGACTTCAGACCCTGTCGGTAGACAACTTATCTGGAGTTTCTTGTCCTCATAAGCTACATGTACAACAAAATGAGACATTTGTGAGCTTGAAGACCAGTTTACAGATTGCACAGGGCAGGGTGCCCAAAATTCAACTCAACTGCAAAGAGATGTTGCAAACTAAAAGGTGTTTTGGTGCCTGGGAAATTAAACACTGATAATGTAAACAATAGATCAGATGATAATCCTGCAATGTGCGCCAAGATTTGTTTGATGTTTGTTTACCACCATGGAAGATAAAAAGCCCAATATTAAAAGTAAGTGTGAACACACTAAATAAAATGATTGTTAAAATTAATTGTTAAAATTAAAATGTGCTAAGAGAAAAATGGGGACACTCGTGACCAGCTATAAATGTGACATAACAAAAACAATAAAAACTTATACAAAAATCCAATTGTGACAAACCTGTGATGATGAACATATCGTCGGAGGATATTGTCATATGAGTGATCAGACATTTGTGGCCTTCAATCAAATCCAGCTGCACGAAAGTCTCCAAACTCCAAGTCTGCAAAAGGAAGGGGCAGAAAGGTAGAAAAACAACAGAACAGAAACGGTACTCTGTAAAACAGTTTGATCAAACATCCACTCCTCTAAATGATGACGATTTAACAAGACACAACTGTTGGGCTTGAATTTGAAGTGTAAAGTTCATGAAACTCGGTTGGTTACTGCCATGATATCATTATGGCTACACAATTAACAGTACAATGTTCAATCACTGACTAGCAGTAAGCAACAAAACCTCGTGGAAAATAAGGCCAACACCTCTGACACTCCAGGAATCTTTGATGCTAACAGCAGTGTTCCCAGCACTGTGTCAATGACCAATATAGACATCTTCATATCAGGCATAAACAAAAAAGGCCCTAAAATACTCTTAAAATGTGAATGAAAAGGATAAGAAGCATGGTAAAGAGAGCTACAAGGTTCATTTCAAAAGACTGCATTACAAAAGTGGCATTTATTCATCAAGTCTCAATGCTTGGCTGGACACAGTCACTTTCACATAAAGGTGGGAAAAAACGAACTGCCTAACTGACAAGCAAAGGGACACTTCACCAGCTGTCCTCACCCTTATAGTAGAGTCTGCTGCAGCTGACACTAGCACGTCGTCAGAGCTGTTCACGGCGATGGCAATCACAGCGTCCTGGTGGCCCTCCAAGGTCCTCTCCAGGGCCCTGGTACCGCTCTTGAAGACCCGAAGCTTGTAGTCGGCTGACCCGCTGATGACTCGCTGGCCTCCATGAGTCATCAGGATCGAGGTGACCACCCCTTTGTGCTCGGCCAGGGTGCCAGTGCACTCCGCCTTGTCGGTGCACCAGACCTTGACCGTTTTGTCAGTGGAGCCCGTGAGGAGCCATCTGGTAAAGGTAGGATGGAGTTTTGGTTGAGTACTGACATGCTACAGCTGATGATCCATATGCACGGAACAATCAGTGGAGTGGTTGACTTATCAAAACTCCCTCCCCCCCCAGCATTTTTCTCAGGAACCTTTCATAATCCTCTAAAATCTTACACTTGCATTCATTTTGATTTAGCATCTATAAATATACACCCAGAGAGATGTGGTTCATAATTTACCTGTTATCATCTGACGTCTCAATGCACGTCACCTCCATGTCGTGACCTTTGACCTCCCAGATCTTCTCATGGGAGGCGATCCGGAATGCTGCGAGAAAGGTCTCCCTCAGGACACAGTACACCACCTGGTTGTCGTCGGACAGCGCCATCTTGTGCACGGCGCCCCCGCAGGGCACAGCAGTGACGTAGGGCTCACGCGGGGTGGGAAGCCAGGAGGCCAAGGGCACAATGAGGGGGCGAGTGAACTGCTCACACCACTCCATGGCCTGGTTGACCAGACACTCCAGGCTGCCTGGGTAGTCCGCTGAGGAGGGAGGGAAATTTAGTCATCCTTGGGAACGTTCCAGTGAGAACTGCAGTTAACTTTAGCTTGACCAATGCTGCCAGAGCAATGGATGGTTGGACCATCGAGCTGACCATTTAGGACCAGGCCATTGGTCGTAAATGTATTGCTGGTTATCAACAGCCTTTTTTTCAAGAAGTACAGTGAAAACCATTGACAGCAAATAACTGTGCAAATGGCCAGGAACATGAATGCAAATCAGGCAGAGTCAAACATTCACACAGCAAGGACCACATCAACACTGGGAAGCACTACAGCTCACTGTTCCTGTCAACGGATGGCACATCAGACGTATCTGAGCAACAGTGAAGATCAGCAACCTTAGCAAGGTACCCAATGACACCAGCTTCAATGTCAGCAATATCAGCATTCCCCACACCACTGAACCAGACCTGCACGTGATAACCACTGAGGAGGTGTTTGCGCAGTAAAGAACCAGAACCAAACCAATGGGTCCTTCGTACCTTCGGTCTATGACCCTCTTAGACCCACCCAAGGTGCCTCTCCAAATAACACCCACTACAACAGCGCCGCACATCACCGGGACACCAACTGCCGACAAGAGGATTCAAGTCCAACACCCAGCCGAGCTGTTTTGCTTCAGTGCAACATTTCTACAAGTAATCCTTCCATCTAGTACTTAAGCCCTACATCCCTTGAGTCTGGCACTCTCTCTCCTGAAGATGAACTGAACACCCTTTTTGAAATGTCAAGAATGAAACCTTTGCTTCTTCCACAGCCACACATGGTCAGAAAAGAGAACTGCTCCTTTAGTGTTATTGTCAACCTTGTTGTATTTCATACTTCCCCATACATACATGTAGCCCCACGTCTTCAAAATTCTGTCCAGTTCTAGAAAGTAACCCTTATTTTAATCATGGGTGATTAAAACCAACCAACACTACCCCCACTGAGCACAAACAAAACAAAACACAAGTGTCGAGTGCAACTCAAATTAACGTTTGACTGTAACCCTATTTAATATGATTAAGACATCAAATTCATCTGTCAAAAATAAATGTCTCATGCCAGAAATTGATGACATTTTAAATATGACACTTTCCTAATTTATTGAAAGAAGTTGAAAATATGTGATTCCCTTCTTCAAGTTCATTTAAACATTATTCAAGCTATCCATGTGATTCGTAAAAATTGTTTGTTCCATGTAGAGGTACATATCAAACTTGGTTTTAACCTCTAACCTTTGATGGGCAACAGCCGGCCAATCAGCTCAGCGGCAAGCTGCAGTGGGTCAGCCATCAGCGCTGGTGCGCTGAGAAGGATGGCGCTGCGGGTCAGGTCAACCTCTGAGTCGATGACCATGCCACGGATGGTGTCAAAGTCCTGCAGCAGCTGGTAGACGGACATGGCATGGGCCTTGGCCAGCAGGTACTCAAAGTTGCACATGGTGGTTGATTTCAGACGCTTCATGTCGCCTGAAGATCCGAAGAGTTAAAAGGTTTAAAGGTTTTCTCAGACACACTTTTTCTTCTTTTTAAATGACGGATAAACACTGAGAGTAAGTGTTCAGTTGTGCCATGAGGACATCAGTTCTGTGCAATGTTACACTTTTCTTCAATGTATAGAAAGAATGTGACCTCCTTTTAGGGTAAATTTGTTGAGAAAGGCAATTTTAAACATTTATAATTATTTGTGCTTTTGCGGACCCCTTTGTGAGCACTGTTGCTATGATATCAATCAGGGAAGACACTGTTCAGTTTATAAGTTTCTCTGTTCAAGTCATGAACCCAAACTTTAAATTTACTCATGGAAAACATTTCTGAGCAAGGGTTGTTCATTAGCTGTAGTGCAAAGTAATTACATGACAATAAATTTCTAAAGAAAAGGAGAAATGTTGAGAGCAAAATATCCAAAATTCCACAAGTTCCACAAACCAATGCATCATTCAAGTTTACTCCTTAGAATGACATCAGAGTTTTGCTTGCGAATATGGGAGTTAGAACAAAACCAAAAAGCCAGCCAAATACCTTATAAAAACATGAAGAAAAACAAAAAGTGTTTACACAAAGTTAGGCTATCAAAGACTGCTTTTACAAAGCGGCCTTGCATGGTCCCTTTAAAGATGTGTCATGTCCGCTACAGTTTGTAGCACACTGTCCAGTAATTATTTCATTTTAATTCTAGCATGTCAGTACACTTCCACAGTCATTCCAATTTGAAAATCACAAGAGTGTGAACAATGGAAAGACACGAAAATTTCTCTAGACAGTTGATTTTTACAGTGGGGCTGGAAATAGGAAGCATGAATGTGCTAGAAATACATGTATGTCAAGCTATGCTGTAAAGAGTGGGGGCATGTGGCCAAGTGGTTAGGGCTTGTGGATTCCAATCATAGGGTTGGAGGTTCGAATCCAGCCGCTGGCAGCATGTTGTCGGCCTTGGCAAGCCAATTCTCCCCTGGCTGCCTCTCTCCACCCCGGAGTATAAATGGGCGCCAGCATTAGCTGGGGAAGCAACCTGCAATGGACTGGCATTCCATTCAGTGGGGAATAGAAATAGTCATTTCATGCCAAGGAAACTGGCTCGAACCAGACTTGCTTTATATGCTGTAAGGCGAGTGTCCTGGGTGTGCAATTATGTCATGGTGAGGGGGCAAATTTCAGGTGTTACTGTCCAACAGAACAGATTTACACAAAACGATAATCGATTCAAAGCATCTTACACAACACAATGGGCCAATGTCAAAGAAGAGCTTGGCAACAGAAATCTGCTAAGCTTAGAAAATACTCGCTTGGCAAAAAAAAGGTTGCCAGCCAATATGCAATGCAATGTGTGCCTGCTGGGAGTGGTTCCGTGCTGATTTTGGCTAAGTATATAAAGCTATATAAGTAGCTCTGTGAAGCTAGGCCAAGATCTAAGAATCTATATCACTCTTATTGGGAGGAAAACACTCTTGGGATCTTTGGAGAACCTTCCACTTACCAGCATGGGCCAGGTGGTACCACAGCTCGCTGAGCCGCCGCATGTTGTACCTGGTCTCGCCATAGAGCAGCGGCTGGGGTGCCACCTTGCGGCCCCTCTCCACACCCTCCAGCTCCCGACCCGGCAGCGACCACACCTTCTCCTTCACCCAGCCTTGCAAGAAGAGCTGGGCCAGCCGGCCGTGGCAGTTTGCCCGGACGCAGCTGTTAGCCAGGTAGCGCTGGCTGGCAATCTGCCGGATGACCGAGCCGCTCCACGTCAGCACCGTCTTATTGTCGATGAAGCGTTCCTCCAGCAAAGTTCCTGAGGTCAAAGACCGAAAACTCATTTGAATTAGTCTCTTCCATATGTATGGAATGCTCACTCATTTTGGATGTTGACATGGCCGGTGAAGAATAGAGGGAATACAGTTCATGGTTAAGGTTAGGGATGGAAGAGAGATTTGTGAAGTGTCCGGGGGGGGTGTAACAAGAACAACAATGAAAACAAAATACTGTGACTGGCCAGGGTTTATAAATAGCTTAAAAGCCATGATTCTCTCACAATGGCCATGGTGATGTGAATCCCACATTTGGCTTTTTGTGCCAAGTGCCATTAGTGTAGCAAACCTGAGTGACAAATACTGCAAACATCCACAGTGCTTCCACGTACATCATCAATCCTGATATCCAGAGAAATCCCACCCGTCCACTTGCTAGAGTTATTGGGGGTATGATAGCACACTTCGAAAGTCATCTCTCCATAGTTATGAAACAAATCTGTCAGCCATACTCTCAAGTCTCAAGTTGTATTTACCCAGGTCATACTTGAAAGCAGCCCAGAGGTGATAGGGAAACCTGATGAGGTGAGGGAGGTTTTCGCGATAGATGCTGTCTAGAAGCTCGTCATCGCAGGACAACACATCCATCAGCTCGGCCTCTGTCAAGCCATGGTGAGCCACCGTCAGATACCTGAATGACAAGTACGTAAAGTCGGAGAACACACAAACAATAGAAGTAAATTAAATTAATGGTAGGGTGAAGTTTCAAGGCGAGTTTATAATAGACACAAAAGAGAATATGTGAAAGAGTGATTTCAGATCACATCATTGCGCTGCAAATTGGCAACAGCTGAACACATTTCAACTTGAGCACATTTCGCTAGCAAGCTTTTGTGATGTTGAAGTTGTTTCATTTTTGCCTTTGTCTGAATACACCTTAAGGTCCTGTTTTATACACAGCATGCATTCAGGGATATTCTGTGTGACAGAAAACATAACAGTTTTCTGTAGGACTATTTCCACTACAGACAAACAAAAAACAACAGTGGGCAATCAAAATCAGTGAAACCTTGGTTTGGTTTGGTTTGTCTCGGTTCGAAAGTGCCATGCAGGGATCTTGGTTCGGTTTGGTACTTCGACTGCAGCACTAGAGTTAGTAACTGCTTACTGAATTGTTTCCACCTTATGTGTCAGTGTGAAACATCATGTGACAGATGTTTTCCATCACTGGACTCAGTCACCTTTGCCTGTGAAAATGAGCCCTTAAGGCCGATAAAACTTTCTTTTTTACCTGAGAATGTGACTTGTTATTGTGACACCATGCCTCTCTTCCACATGTTGTAGGACCAGGTTAGCAGCCTCTGTCAGTGCTGCTACCGGGTCCCGTCCATTTCCCGATGGGTTCACAAACTGTGCCTCATGACACATCAACTTGGCAAACATTGGCAGTGGGTGCCTCGCCACTGCCCGGGTCACAATCTTGACCTGGTCCGAGGTCAGTGGCCGCGAGTTTTCTGTGAGGAAGAGTTTGACCAACTCAGAGAGTTCCCGGTCATTGAGTGAGGTGACCCGGATGAAGTGAGACTCGTTGGGGATCATTTCATGGAGGACCTTTAGGGCGGGGGAGTCTGAGAGTGAGATGACCAGGTGGGTAGAGGCCGGAAACTCGCTTGGGAGCCACTCCAAGAGCTTCTTGCTCAAGTGTTGAGAGATCTCCTCCGGGATATCCACCACAATGAGCAGAGGCTTGGCTTGGCTAGGCACGGTGGTCACCACCTTCATAAAGAATGCGGCCAGCTTTTCCCCTTCCCTGGGGACGTCGCTCAGCTTCTTGGGTTTGTAGGCCTCCATGATCTGCCGGCAGGAGCTCTCCAGGAAGTCCCGCAGGGACTTGCAGTTGGTGGTGCGGCCCAGGAATCGGGCCACCACGGTCACGCCCTCACCCAGCCAGGTGGGCGCCAAGTGCACCAGCTGTGAAACTACCGTGGTCTTGCCGCTACCCGCCTCCCCATGCAGGATAATAGGATGGTTCTCCTTCCGCGCTTCAGCCTTCAGTGGGTTCACCAAACCCTCCACTTGGTTGATGACGGAATCCCGGCTGATGAAATTGTTTTTCTGCAAGGCGGCAATCTGGCCATGAGCCATGACCTCCGACAGGATGCTCTTTGAGTTGTCCACATTGCGTGCGTTCTCCTTCTCCTTCCCTACCTCTTCATTGATGAGTTCCTTGATCCTGAAGACAATCTGTGAGGTCATCTCCTTAATGTACTGAGCATGCTCGTCTTTGGTCTTCGGATCAATGCCACCTGAGGACCACGGGGTCGTGTACGTGAAAATGTTCTCCTCGCACACCAGAGATGGAATCTTGGTCTCCTTGAGGAACTTGATCCTCTCTTGGGCTTTCTTGTAGATCTTTGGCCGGCTGGGTTTCCTTATGTCCACATAATTGTGCATTTCTTGGTTCTCTACATTTTGTGGAAAGTCTTCCAGGGTGCGGAAAATGTAGAGGCATTTCCTGCCTCCATTGCTGGACAGCTGGTGAGCATGGAGAATCTCATTTTCAATTGCTGTAAGAGATTAAACAATCAACATATATACCGGTAGAAAATACAGTGATTTTTTTTTGGAATAGTCTTACAAACAGTGGTCAAACCCCCGCTTGAAACATAATTCCCAATTTCAACTTTTTCCGGTCCTTTCCCAGATTACTGATATTGGATATTGCTAATCCATTGTGTACTCTTCACAACCAAAGAGAAAAAAAAACACGAAAAACTTCAGTTAAATTACAGCTTATCACCCAGTGAAAAGGCCATTTTGAACGGGATTGAACAGCTTACTTGTGCTGGTAGAGATGGTTACTGCATTTGGCTGAGCCAATTCAGCATTTAACAATACATGCTCAAAACAAAGTGTGAATTATCATGGATAATGTGAGAATACCAATGCACGCACACGATGCAGGCCTTATCAGTGCAGCTGTGAGTTGACTCTCATGCACTCAACATGTTTGAACAGCGGGTGCTTTGCTCTTGAATGCCCTTGCCTTTCTGAAACTAACCGGCTCATTAGCACTGTGCGTGGAAATGTTAAAGTTAAGAAGTAAACATGCTGGGAAGCCAAGATGGTCTGCTGATACTTTACAGGCCCGATGAGCAGGGGTAACACTGATGTAACCATCAAAGCACAAAGTATTGGTTGATTTCAAACACAAACTTATTTCCCACTGCCATGATATTCAGAACAACAAAAGGACTAACATTTGCCAAACAAGGACTACAAGACAAGGTGTACAGAATTTGTTATTCCTCATGACCTGTGACCTGTGAACAAAAGAGGTCTGCACACAGCAGGCAGTGAGGACTTTGCCTGGACTTGGAACACCATATTACCTGACATGTGGTATTTGTGGAGTTGCTCTTCGTTAAGCAGCCCTTCGTCGTGGACGTACTCCGAGCACTGCTGCAGGATTTCTAGCAGGGAGTCATGGGTCTTCTTCCACTTGGCCACGTCCTTCTCATGGGCTTCTTTGTTCTCCTCACTCCTAGAGGGAGACGAGTTAAGACGTCAGCAGGGTAGTTTTCAAATCTACGCTTTGGCAATGCTATAGTAACCACGGCAAAAACCCATATCAAGTTGCAAAGGTTTTGGGAGGAGGCCTTGAGCTTGTCAGGGAAATACAGGTAAGCACAACTACCGAATCTTGTAAAGATACCGCTCTAACTTTCCTTTGTGGTAAATTGACTTTCTGGCTAGTTCTCAAACTTCCTAAACTACGACGGTGTAATGCAGACAAATGAGATATTACAAAGAGCTTCAAGGGTACAGTGGCTGTGTGGATTGACATAGATACCAAGTGGTCATGAAAATGCTTACTGGTCATAGTAGAATTTTAGCTTTGCTGATATCGGGGATAGCGTGTAGACTTGTTCCTGTCCATCTGCCTCTGGTAGGTACCACTCATCCAAGATATTAATATCTGAAACACAAAATGAAATGGATAGTCAATAGCAGGGATAATCACTCATGTTCAAGAAAGGAAAAACGCAGAACCGATCCCAAGATGTGTCATTAGTGCTGGATTACCTTTTAGACATTTTCAATAAATAATTTTCTTATTAAACTTCCATAATTACTTTGTCATTTTCATAATAAAAATGAGGATATATGTTTATTTTTGTATCATGTCTTGGATGTGTTAATTTTATTGCCCAGTAATGGTCACATGCCCAGTCTATAAAAAGGCTAATTACTACATACAATTTGTTACATAATTTCATACAATTTATCGAAGAAGTACCTTTGACTCCATATGCAGGGTACATTAACATGGGTGCAAATGAAAAACACAAATTAGCAAAATCCTGTCTAATCCTTTATTTGTTAAAAAAGTGGGACTTGTACCAAGAATATTCAAGTTCACATGACCACAAGAAAAACAGTTCTTGAATTCTTGAATGAATATGAATGTGAGTGCGTGGCAGGTGCACTCCCTTCCTCTCCCTCTCAAAAAAACAACCAAAAAAAAACAACAAAAGACAAAAAAAAAATCCCCAATAAATAAACAAAAGATACAAACATCACAATCTCTCAACTGAGTGCCCCAACAAAAAGTCATTTGTAAGGAAAAAACGTGGCAAATTTTAAATGTATTGAAAATGTGCATTTCCCAATGAGAGTAACCAAAAAGTGCCGACAGTCTTCTGAAGTTTAAGAGTAAAAAGTTGCACACACAAAATATGTTTCCAAGTACAATTCACATCCTGGCCTCCTTTAAGGGTATAATGGTGTACTGAATGGTGGTAAATGTGTGGTTTAAACTGCCTTGAGGTCTCCTTGAATAAGTGCATCTGGTTGTGAATAATGTTTTAACTACTAGCTATTTTTGCACCACTTAAACTTGCTTGTTTTCATGACATTTTAAGTAACATTGCTAGCTTTGACCAGAAGTTAATGGCCAACAATTTGCTCAAAATGTTAAAAAAACAAGGAAGGTATGATTGTGTAAAAATAACTTGTTCTCCTGCAGCTTGAGCCTGAGGGGCTTGTCAAGTCACTGACAATGGTAGAACTGCTAAAGGTGAGAGCCCATTGTCAGCAGCCAATCCCTGCTCAGCATCACTGCTCATAACTGCTTTTCCAGTCAGTAAGAAGTGGTTAAGAATTGCTAAATTTCCCCTGATTCCGTTCAACCTTTTTGCTTCATATTTTGTAGCACAGCCCTCGAGGCTATGCCAATGGTTAATGGCTCACATGTGAAGAGCTACTCATAGTGACTGGTATGCTCAAGGCATGTACTGTGCAATGTGGTGGCATAAAGTACTGGCTCTTGGCAGTGCTTTGGCGGGTGACGGGCTTTGAACAAATGGGGATGATCAAACTGTCTTTAATTAACCAGCAAAGTCAGTGATGGTCGAGTGGTTAAGACGTCTCGACACCAAGAAGACGGCAAGCTCAGTGGTCGAATGGTTAAGATGTCTGCACTAGTAAGCAGGAGGTCATTGGTTTGAGTCCCACCCAAGTACGCTTGAGTTTTTTTCACAAGCCTTCGGGGACAAACACTGAGTACACAGTGTTATAACACCTGTCGGGCAGGGCAATAAAAATCCAAAATTAACCAGCAAGGTGTCGACTGCTTCGACGTGGAATGTGCCATTTCTAATGATTGATGTAACAAAATTAGCAACTGTTTTGTCCAATGTTGTGCCGATTTAGTCCAAATGATGAATAGTTGTGACTTGCCTGTTAACTTCAGACTGTCCTGGGCAAAAGTGGTTGCCACTCTCAGCCTCGAGTGCAGTATACTGAACACAAAGTGCAGTATACTGTGGGGTTGACCCATGTACAAAACATTGATTCTCTTTTTGGGTGGCCATTTAAAGGAACGACACTTCAGTTTCCCAGCTTATACCCACGGTGAAGAATTTAAATATTGATTCAGATATGCTTATGTACCTTTGCCAGCCTCAAATGCACAATCCCTGATGTGGCTGAATTCTGTTGAGTCGACCCGCGTTGGCAGCACGTAGTCTCCGTATTTATTGCCGATGATGGACTGAAAAAAAACCAACAAAAACACAGAAAAGAAACACTCTAATGAAATTGAATTCCAGAAAGAAATTGCTGCTGTTTAGTTGAGACTCGGGATGCAACTTCCATGGTTTGATTACATGTAGTCTTGGCCCAAAGACGTTACTACTCGTACTTGATGTTTATTACTGTACCCGTGCATATATATCCACACAGCAGCACAAACAAATATTAGACCAACAGAGGGCGCATTTCACAGGACGATAAACTTCTTATGCTGTCAGTCAATACAAATCTTAAGGAATTGATACTTGGTGGTGAAATACAATCCATTACAGAATCAAATGCACTAGGAAATCGATTAACAAAGACGTGTAGGCCAAAACAGCATTTTCTGTGAGGGGAAGAGAGGGCAATGGGAGGGAAATACAAGCACCAAGGTCTTGAAAGCAAGACTATGGTTACATGGGCGTGAAGTGACTGTCCTGGTGACTAGGGTTTTCTGTCTGCATTGAGACTACCACAAGTGAGCCAAGTCAGAAGCCAACATGCAATGCATGCACCAGACATGACTTCTCAAAGGCTTGCATCCTACATGTAGTTGTGATTCAGCGAGGCTCCTCCAAAGAGTCTTATCGATGGAGGGTTAAAGACAGAGAAGCAAAAGTGCACACTTTTCTCGGCAACTAATCCGAGAAAAAGGTTTAACTTATTTTTAAACAACACACAATAGACAACTGCATGAACTTAGTCTGAAGAATCTGAATATTTCCTGTGTTTCCACAGAGACAAAGATTGGCCACTTCCCAGTTACGGTAACATTCAATACTTTGTGTTGTTAAACTATCCAAAATAGACCTACAAGGACTTGCAAAATGGCAAGTCTTGATTTAGCTGTAGACTTCGCTCTTTCGGAAATCAAACCAATCACATTTCATGAGCATATCCATCCAAGAAGGCCTGCAGTCCATGGGCTAAAACTGAACGATTTGTCGACTTCAATGGTGTTTTTGTGACAAGCGTGATAATGTTTGGTTGACAGTGGATTGTGGGCGGGGGTAAAATAGGGGTGGGGTGGGAACAGGACGGGTGAGACTGCTGAGGACAGCCCTCCAACTCCACTGATGACATTGCTCGATCCACTTCTAGACAGAAGCTATCGGAACAAATTATTGCTTGTACTCTGACTATGCTAACAAACGTGGGCGGTATACACGTCAAGCCACAACACAGGTGTTCAAAACAAGCTGTCCACAAGTCTAGGTAAACTCAGCATCATAGAATGCATTCAAATCGACTGGCTTACTTGCTGTCAAGGGCAAGACATGCCAGTAACAATTTGTTGAATGGTGAGAGTCAACATTCTGGCCTGCAGTGCACTATGGAAAGGCCAATTTTGAGAGATCTGAATAAACATATGAGACGTGTGTACACATATTGTCAATTAGACACAGCGAGTTTGGCATTTCCGGAAAATTAGGTGGGCACTGCAACAGCCTGATTATTGGCATACATGTAGGTGGTGTTTAATGGGGGGGGGGAACTTGAGAAATTCCAAGATAACAGGCTCTGTCAGAAGACACAAACCAGAAGGAGACACAGAAGTGAATGCAATTTTACTAAACAGTATCTTTCAATGGTTTAAAACATAATGCATCTTGTGTATTTTCATCCCTGCTTGTGACTCAATGTGGCCGCTTGCAAGGATTGAAAGAAAACACCCCACCCCCCAAACAAACACACCAAAAAAAAAAAAAAGCCTTTAACCCCCCCTAAAACCAAGCCCCATGCTACATGTACAAAGAATTTAAGGATGTTAAAACTGCTATCAATAATACAGAACCTAGAATGATAAGTTACTCCATCAAAAAACACTGTGATAAACATGTACATATTTACTGAGGAGCACAAACATCCGAACTGGCATATCCCTCATTCCTTGCTTCAGGCAGCTCAGCCCTGCCCTGTATCTTACATCCATGGCCCACCTGCACACATCTCTCCCCCACACACCTCTCAGAATAGACAGCAATGCCAAACTACCCGCTGGTTTCATGTCACAATTAACTTGAATGGCCTCGAGGCTTTCTCCTATGGCTGTAGACATTACCTGAGAGACTCAAGGGCCCTGGAGCTTAAGCGCTCTTTTTCTTCTCCCTCTCTGTTTCTAGTCCTCTCCTGCATCCAAAATGTCACCAAAACATCTCAAAAGATTCCCAGTTTCTTAATGGCTTCTCATGCGTATACATGTACGCTTGGCAATGTCTACTTGGTTTGCAATAACATCATTTAAATACGAAATTAAGAAAAAGAAAATCAAAAATCAAAAACAAGAAAGAACACACCCGCAAAAACCGTCAGTGTTGGAACTTTGCAGGTGGAAAAGAGATTGGCACTGTTTCTTCAAACCTGCGAGTTGCGTATCTAGGGAAAATTTGAACATGTCATTAATAGATGAAATCACTATCCAAAATTCTAACGTAGGCCTACAGGCATATTCAGTGCCACTTGCATTCAAAGCGCTCTAATCACATATACACATAAATTAATGAGTTGCATTCTTCAGGATTGCAAGTGCTCGAAATACTGGTATTCTAGTTTTATCCACAAAAAACCATTCACTCTAGCTCTGGGGCATCAACTGAATGCTACTGGAGCTGATTGATGGGTGCCTGCATGAATATGCTACGGATTTGTGCAAAATTACACGTGCTCTCTTCAAGGCACGCGAACAAAAACATATGCACACCGCATGTTGCTCAAAGGCAGATTGTTGCATGAAAAAAGAACCCCCTCTTTGATCACACATGGAACCCACAGAGTCAACTGGACATAAAAATTCTGTGAGCCTGAATCCCCCAAAACAAACAAGGCCTTGCCAGAATGAAGAACCGATGGGCAGAATAACTGAAGGCAGTACAAAGAGGAAAAAAATGAGAGCCTCCATCGGCAAAGGGTATAAGAAGAGGCTCCTCTGTGGGTCTGAAGCAGCTCCCAAGATGAAACAGGGCTCCTGGGAGAATATTTTTCTCTATCGGGAAGTGATCTCTCCATCTCATTCTTGCCCACTGCGCCCCGACCCTTGGAGAAGGCACAGAGCCCAAGGCATGTCAAATGACTCATATGCCCCATGATTCATCCATTCTTGAATCTCCAAGATGCCGGCTTTCTCAATAAGACAGAATCCTACGGTAGTTTATTTCAGACTGCGGGAGGGCCTTTTTTGGCCCATTTTGTTAAAATGAGGGGCAGCAACAGAAAAGATTATACAGCTCCCCAGGGTAAAATAAAAAAAAAGACAATTATCTTCATGTAGCAGGTACACAGGATTCCTGACCAAACAAACTAAATCCCCAACCAATTGCTTTTTGATCAACCTTTTGAAGAAATGAAGTCCGAGGACTGCTTGAAGCCCTGTCAGACAGCAAACATGCGATTTACAAAACAAGAAGAAAAACCTGTAGAGATGAACGATGATGATTACGGCGGATGAATATTATTCATGGCTGGAAAGTCCTTGATGGATCTATGAAAGGGAGGATTAACAATAAACTGTACATGTTGGAAATGAGGAGTGGTCGTAGAGACGGAAGATGGGAAAAGTGCTGCACCAACCAGCAAAACTTGGGTTCCATTTTATGGCCCTGCCGAGCAAAAAACACTGCTCAGCATAGTCTTAGCCTAAGCAAAAAAAAATCAGCCGACAATCAGCCTCAGGTAAGATACCTTGCATGGCAATCTGGCCGGTGACCAGTGTCTGCAAAGAACATTTTTTTTGTGCTCAGACAATTTTTATGGTCAAGAGTGAAAGCCGATTTTAATATGCAAAGGATCTTAATAATGGTTGCTCAGGGTTCAAATGCCATGGGTCAGCTTGCCGTAACAGAAAAATCTTTGCTAAATAAAGAAAGAAGGCTGGTGAAAATTTGCGAGTGCATTTCTTTGGTTATCAAGAAAAATGTGTTCCCTTATATTGTACATGCCGCTGAGGCTTCAGTCGAAGCAGGGAGTGTGTAATTTTTTTGGGCTTAACACTGTGGGGCCTAAACAGATCAGTGGTTGATAAGCTTCAATTTGTAACTGCTTGTTGTTGGCATGGATATGAAATTTGGTCCAGTTCTTTTTACTATATAGTTCTACAGGCGTGAGCGTGCAATCACAGAGTATGCCAATATGCAAATTTTGGAACTAGAAAATTTACAGGATCTATCAGAAATGTGACAGAGTCTGAGGAATCATGGCAGATGCAGCCCAAATGGAAAAGCTACTGTGCACAACCATTTTGGCATCCTGTGTATTTATGGTGCTATATCGCTTAATTTACGATTTGTAAAGATCTGGTCTAATACATGTAGGCTACAATGACATTTAGTCAAATCTTTTTTTTTTTGGGTTTTAATTAGAGGGAGAGCAGGGACTTGGGACTGTTTTCTCACAGACCACTACAATAAACTTTTCATGAGGGGGAGGGGGACAAATGTGAGGGGACGGGGAAGATTTGAAGGTTCAGGTTACACATGTTATCCACAACTCTATGTATGAAACTGCAATAGGACCAGCAGGCCCTATTAATCTTGTGAAGTCCATACTTGACGCATATCAACTTTGCTTGTCTTCACACTCTGTGACGACCTGTAAAATCAGCACAGCAGGCAGCTCAGCCAGCTGAATATATTTTCCCCCTGCAAGTACCAGTACGTGTTTACTTTATGCACACACATACTACATCAAATCTGATGCTCGCTATTTCAACAGATATATACACGTCAAATTTGACAGAGGCAATTCTGACGCTGGAATATCAGCGAGGCACTGGACCGTGTCAAAGTACAGGCTGATGGAGATGGAATGTGTAAATCTCCTGAAAGTATTGCCTGGCGTTGCAGAGATGACAAGATGCGATATTACCACAGGGAAAATCCATATCTTCTATACCTCTGTTGACAGAGCCTTTGAATTTCCCAAGTTTTCAATTTTTAATTTCTTTTCAAAAGAAAAAATTAGGTCGCTGTATGATCGCCATCA